CCACAGAGAGTGTAAAGGAGGAGGGGAGGCGAATTTTGGGGCTGCTGGATGCTCACTAGAAGACAAGGGCTTTTCTGGTGTGACATTGGCTGACGTCACACTTGTCTGTACCCTGCTGTGGCTCTACAAACAGGTCCTGGAGCCTTCTTTCCGGCAGGCCTGTCCCAATACCAACCGCTGGTTCTTCACCTGCAGTAACCAGCCCCAGTTCCGTGCTGTCTTGGCAGAGGTGAAACTGTGAGATGGCCCAGTTTGATGCTAAAAATTTTGCAGACAGCCAGCCTAAAAAGGACACCCCACAGAGGGAGAAGGGATCTCAGGAGAAGCAGAAACCCCAGGCTGAGCGGAAAGAGGAGAAAAAGGCAGCTGCTCCCGCTCCCAAGGAAGAGATGGACGGATGTGAGCAGGCGCTGGCTGCTGTGCCAAAGGCCAAGGACCCCTTTGCTCAGCTGCCCAGGAGCACCTTTGTGTTAGATAAATTTAAGCGCAAGTACTCCAGTGAGGACACGCTGTCTGTGGTGCTGCCGTACTTTTGGGAGCACTTTGATAAGGACGGCTGGTCCCTGTGGTACTCAAGTACTGCTTCCCCGAAGAGCTCACCCAGACCTTCATGAGTTGCAGCCTCGTCACTGGAATGTTCCAGCGACTGGACAAGCGGAGGAAGAATGCCTTTGCCAGTGTCATCCTCTTTGGAACCAACAATAGCAGCTCCATTTCTGGAGTCTGGGTCTTCCGAGGTCAGGAGCTCGCCTTCCCGCTGAGTCCAGATTGGCAGGTGGACCGAGTCATAGACATGGCGCAAACTGGGTCCTGGCGGTGAGGAGACCCAGAGCTGGTTCCAGACTTTTGCTGGGAGGGGGCCTTCCAGCATGTGCGCAAAGCCTTCAATCAAGGCAAGATCTTCAAGTGAACATCTCTCGCCATGTCTGGCTGCCTGCACCTGTCCTTCAGGGAGATGGGGGTCATTAAAGGAAACTGAACATTGAACAAGAAAAAGACTCTCCCCTCTAGTTCTCTGTTCTTTCTCAAATTTGTAGTTAGATTCCTAGAATTTTTTTCAAAGTTACTTTCTTTTGCCCTGGTGGGTGTGGCTCGGTGGGTTGGAGAGTCATCTAATGCACCAGAGGGTGGCAAGTTCAATACCCATTCAGGACACATGCCTGGGTTGCAGGTTTGATTCCCAGTTGGGAGGCAGCTGATTGATGTTTCTCTCGCACATCCATGTCTCTCCCTTCCCCTCTCTCTGGAAATAAATGGACACATGTCCTCAGGTAAGGATTAGAAAGAAAAGACAGTTACTTTCTTTTGTTTTAATTAATACTATTATATTTTTCCCCCCAATAGATACTAATAGTAAGAGCTCTAATTCTTTGGAATTGATTTCGCTTGTATTAGAAAAAACTAAAACTGTGCATGAAGTGAGAAAGAAATGTAAGTACTGTATAAGAAAGAAAAAACATGTGGACACCTCAAGGGGTTCACAAAAGGAATAAAACAAACCCAGTCCCAACCAGACTATGAGTTCCTTTTGGTGACCTTAAATACTGCTAAGTATGTCAAGGTAGAAAGACATCAAATCTTTTTGGAACCCTAATTATATTATAGTAAAAGTGTGTGCTTACTGCTAAATGATTTGCACAGTGGTAGGACTGTTACATTTATTTACATTTTAATCAACATATGGTAAATGTAATTTAGTAATAATGATATCTATATCTACATGTAACTTTGATTTATATTAAAAGGCTGTATGAAAATTTTGACTATGAAATTAAGACCTTAGCGTTCTGGTCCCAAATGTTAAAAGGCCAAAGAAAGATTATTAAAAAGCTACACATGAAGGAAGGGGGGTGGGGGGGGAGGTAGGATGGTGAGGAGGGTGTCTGAGGGGGAGAAACATCTGTAACAAAAATAAATGAATAAAAATTGGAAGAAAAACAAAAAACAAAACATAATAAAACAAAACTTTTGTTAATGGAAAGAAAGAAAAAAGCTACACATGCTCGCAGGCTGTCCGTGGCTAATTTCCCCACAAAGCAAGAAGAAACACAGTCCCAGCTGTTCCACTGGGGAGCAGTCCTGTGGCTGAGCGCCTGTTCTTCCAACTTTTAACATTTTCTCTATTTTTTTTTTTTTTTCCTGGGAGATTTCCTCAGCTATTTTCCAACCTTTCTATTGTTACTTGTTTTGGGGGGTACATTTCATTTAAAAGAACACTTTTGTTGTGAGTTTTTGTTTTTTTTTAATCTTCACCCAAGGATATTTTTCCATTTATTTTCACAGTGGGAGGGCGAGAGAGAGAAACATCGATGACACATCAACTGGTTGCCTCCCACACGACCCGGACCAGGGCTGGGACTGAACCACAACCGAGTTACGTGCCCTTGACTGGGATTGAACCTGCAACTCTTTGGTCCTCAGGACAATGCTCTAACCACTGAACAACCGGCCAGGGACAAATTGCAACCGAGGTACGTGCCCTTAGCAGTAACCGAACCCGGGTCTCTCTAGACTGCAGGCCGACGCTCCAACCACTGAGCCAAACCGGCCAGGGCTATTTCTTCATGTTTAAGAATGGGGCTCTATTGCCCGGCTGGTGTGGCTCAGCGGTTGAGCGTTGACCAAAAAGGTCGTGGGTTTGATTCCCAGTCAGGGCATGTGCCCAGGTTGTGGGCCTGATCCCCAGTTGGGGGCATGCAGGAGGCAGCCAGTCGATGTTCTCTCTCATCGATGTTTCTATCTCTCTCTCCCTCTCCTTTCCTCTCTCTCTCAAATCAATAAAGAAGAAGAAAAAAAGAATGGGGCTCTCGAGTCATCTGGGCATTTCTGTGGCATGGGTAGGGCTTAGTGGCTGCGGATGTTTCTGCGAGGTGCTCTGGCCAGACAGTTTCATTGGCCAGGAGCATCTTCAGGCTCTGTCTCAGGCTGGCCAGATTCCCCAGAGATTTCTTGATTGCTGGCCTCCTGTCAGGAGGGTCCAAGTCAAGCCACCAGTACTGGGTGCCAGGGGGAAGAACACATTAGTGTTCTGGGGGAGCTTCTCCATGGGTCTGCAAATGCCCACTTATTCCTCCGTTCAGCAGAGCAGCCTCTGCCGCGGTGTCCCAGCGTCTGTGGTGAGGCAGCCTGGCGGGCTCTGCAGGGAGGGGAGCATGTCTGGACTTTGATGCTTTAAGAGTCTGTCAACATGCCCTATAGTTTTAGCCCGTTTTAGCCCCCTTCCAGAATGAAGATAGTTCCTCCCACCAATGTCCCAGCCTTCTGGAGGTTCTTCAATGATGCAAACTGGGTTGCTTCTCAGATGTCCTTACTGCTGACCTGGGATTCGGTCTGTTTGAAGACATTTCTAATTCAATTAGTCCACCTGCTTTCCAGCAGCCAAAATTTTGTTGCTGTCGGTACTCTTCATCTTCCTCCTTATGCCATTAACACAATCTCTTTCTTGTCATGTCAGTGGGGACATAGGAGCACGCACCAACTATGTGTTCAACCTACCTTCACAGCTATGCTAATGCACACAGTTCTTAAAACGAAAAAACCATTAGTTGAAATCAAATGATCATACCCTTAGCCAAGATTTTCTTAAGCTTTGGATCACAAAGCATCTTTTTTTCTAATGATAATTTATTATGAACTACATTGAAGGGAGGGAGAGAGGAGAGACACACATTGACTGGTTGCCTCCCACACAACCCAGACTGGGGCTGGGGATCGATCCTGCAATCCAGGTGTGCGCCCTTGACCAGAATCAAACTCTTGGCCCTTCAGGCTGCAGGCCGATGCCCTAAGCGCGAGCCAGACCAGCCAGGCACACAAAGCATCGTTTATGTGCATACTCTTCTTTGAGGCTGAAGGCAACTCTGTGATAGTCAAGATTATTCTGTTTTAAAGCTGAGAAAAAATAAAGAAAAGAGAGGCTCATACACTTTACCTCAAGCAGAGGGACAGCATAGGAGCCTTTTTAAAAAATCAGGATTAGAAATGTTGAAAATCAGAAGACCTTGCATTAAAAACTTGTTTCCAAGCTCTCGAGAAAACGGAAGACGGGCAATGGGCCGCATGGGGACACGCGCCAGGGGGGCTCGCCACAGGTGCTCCTTCCCAGGGGGCCCCGAGACACTTGCATTTGAGACCAGAAGGAAAGAAACCACTTTATTTGAACATGAAATGGAACTTAATACATATACAAAAACGGCAAGCCACCCCTCTGGATGGCCAGTGTCCCCCTTGTCGGCGAAATGGTTACCCCAGGGACTAGAAACACCAGCAACAGGCACAAATCCACAGAGAATACGCACGTCTCCTTCCCATCCCCCCAGCTGCATTTACTCATGTAAACATTTGCTGATTGGTAACACCGGTCCAGTTCTGCAAACAAACGTGCAGGGGTGGGGTGGGAGGCGATGACCTCCCTGAAATAGCAGAAGGCAGTTTACTTGGCTGGGTCACAGAGGTATTCAAGGCAAATCTTCACAGTGCCTCGAAGGAGGAAACAGGAATATTCAGATGTGCTGGGGTTTGGGATTGTTTTCCCTCTTACAATAAAAACTTTAATTTTAAAATATTTTTTATTTATTTTAAATCCTCACCTGAGGACATTTTTGCATTTATCTTCAGATAGAGTGGGAGGGAAAAAGAAACATGATGTGAGAGAGACACATCGAGTGGCTGCCACCCGCACAACCCCAACCAGGGCCGGGGACAAACTGCAACCAAGGCACGTGCCCTTAGCGGGAACCGAACCCGGGTCTCTCTGGTCCGCGGGCTGACACTCTAACCACTGAACCAAACTGGCCAGGGCTTTATTTTTTTTAATCCTCAACTGAGGATACTTTGTCCCCATTTATCTTCAGATACAGTGGGAGAGACAGAGAGTGAGAGAGTGAGAGAGAGAGAGAGAGAGAGAGAGAGAGAGAGAAACATCAATGTGAGAGACACATCGACTGGTTGCCTCCCACAAGACCCCAACCAGGGCCGGGGACCAAAATGCAACCAGGTACATACCCTTGACTGGAATCGAACCTACGACTCTTTGGTCCACGGGCCAACACTCTAACTGCTGAGCCAAACCGGCCAGGGCAATTTTTTTCCTTAGACTGAAGGTACCAGATGACACCCCCAACTCTACTTATCTAATCTCCCTGATCGTCACCTGCTTCTTGCACTTGAACACAGTCTGAGTTTCCAGTTGGGCTGCACCGTCTTGGGTATTTGGGGTGGGGTGGGGGTGTTCTTGTTATTTGCATTTATGGAAAAAGAGGCCCTAACCAGCTTTAAAGATTTTTTTCTTTATTGATTTGAGAGAGAGAAGAAGAGAGAGGGAGATAGAAACATCGATGAGCGAGAACATCGATCAGTGGCTCCTGCAAGCCCCCGACAGGGGATTGGGCCCACAACCTGGGCATGTGCCCTGACTGGGAATTGAACCAACAACCTCTAGGTGCATGGGCTGCTGCCCAACCACTGAGCCACACTGGCCGGGCCCAACCAGCTTTAGAAGGCACAAAACTAGGTTTTGAAGGTGAAGTTCTTCTGCTGGCTCAGAAGAATCTCAGCACCCTACAGATCATTGTACTCTCAATGGTCTTTAAAGGAGCATCTGCTTCACTCCATATCCAGGCCCTCTTACCCCCTGGAGGACAGGTCACCCCTGCTGACATTAAGGCCATGCGGGTGGAAACGCAGCGGGGGTGGTGGGTCCAGACAATGCAGACAATGCTCATGAGCTGGTGGAGAGACCAGAGCTACAAAGAGTGCAGTGACGGGCTGGCTCTCCGTTTGTTCACACTGATGGAGCGCCTACTCTGTGCCAAGGCCCGGTGCGTTTGAGCCCTGGAGGTCAGAAACTGAGCTGGCTCATGCCCAGGACTTAACGCAGTGGCTCCCAGTCAAGGGTTAGAGCGGGGTGGGAAGACTACACCAGGTAGGCCACCTGCTTTGTAATAAAAGTTCACTGGAACACCAGCCACGTCCACTCCTCCAGGTATCATCCAGGGCAGGGGTGCTCCACCAGGCAGGGCTGAGCCCTGCAGAGCCCACACAGCCCACACAGCCGGAAATACTTACCATCCGGTCCCTTACAAGAGTTTGCCAGTCCGTGTTAAAGGGAAGCACTGGTACATAACCAAGAAATGAGAGAGGGTAGGGAACAAATGATTTGCATAAGAGAGAGAGAGAGGCTGAATTAATGAGCACAAAGGAGCATGAACTACATGAGGCTTGATCACTTGGAAGAGATGTGTCGCAAGTTGCTGCCTTACATTTAACGCGAGCAATTTAACTGTATGCACCAGTTTAAAACAAAAAGCGACTACCGCATCTGCTGCTAATGGAAAGTGTGGTCAGCTCCGATTTATGAAGGCTGTGACAAGTCCACGTACAAACGAGGGATACTGTCATTTACAGGTGCTCTAAAGGACTTCTCAAGGTGACTTCAGCTCAGCTCTGGACTTCGGAACCCCATGTTTGCACAGGTTCCCAGCCCCACCGCAAGGCCCTCTTCCGATGAACTGATCAGAGCGATTTATATGTCACACCCTGCTTTACGGTCAGACTTTTAAACCAAGGAGGAGAAGCTCCTCAATCACGTGGGCTTGGTGGAAGCAGTCCGTTCCCTTTGCTATTTAAAGTACCGACTGAAATCATACTGATGTTCATGGGATTCTTCTTAAAGAAAAAAGCTCATTATGTACAGTTAGCCACAGCCTGGCCGTGTGGAAACCGCTGGCCTCGATGAGTGTGGTCAGTTCTTGCCTTCTCACTCTCCACCGTGGTAGATAAATCTCCAGGTGCCCCTGCTGAAACCACGTGCTGTGAATGAGAAGCGAATCAACCTGGCTGGAGCCGGAGGTGCCAGGACCAGGGCTGCACAGCGGTGCGGAGGGCACGAGGGGGTCCTGTACGAGGGGTGCTGGCGTCACGCTGCGGATGCGGCCAGAGATGCGGGGCGCCCGGCTGCTTGGGGGACGGGCTTCCCTGTGAGCCTCATCCGGCCAGTGCCTCGGGCACACCACGCCCGCCAGCTGATGGGGCGGTCAGAGGTGGGAATGGGCATGCACACACGCCACACTAGTTTTGTAAAGTCCACTGTACAAAACATGCTTAAAAATGGATTTTGGCTGTATTCCAGGAGATCAGTTGCACTTCAGGAAGGAAGTTAAGTAGAAATATGAGAAAGAGTGCGGGCCCCCACCGTGGCAGAAGGGGCCACGCACGCTTCCAGAGCGCCGAGGGGAGGCTGTGCACCCCGTCACACCACACACGCCCCGTGGAGAGATCATGTGCAGCAACACCTTCCACGCGGCTCGGGACACCAGCTCTGTGGGCCTGAGACCGCAGACCGGCCTCCAAACGCTGGTGGGTAGAGCCCTAATATTTTCCAAGGCAGAAAAACTTTCTTACATCTTGTGACAAGAACCTCCAAACGATATGCTGGTTCATTAGGCTGCTTTTCCAATCCCCGCTTCCCCCAAATACTGCCCTAGGGGACAGTCACTATGTCTCTGCTGATGGAAAAGGCATTTTCAAGGGTCAAAGAATGACATACAAAAGTTGCTTTACAACACACTAAAAATACTTGCCCCTTCCCCAAAACAACCCCTCAATAAGTTGGTGGGTCTCCCCCCCACCAGCCCTTTGGCCGGGGACTGTCCCACGGAGATTCTTCTGGACGTCACTCCTCCGCCTGGGCCCAGGCCTCCTCCGCCCTCTGGTAGTACTGGCTGGCCAGCCGGCCCCGCAGGGCCTCCATCGCGGCCTCGGCTGCTTGGGTGTACAAGTCGCCTGAAAGACAGCACAGTGAGTCATGAGCAGCTGAGCCACCTGCTGTTTTGCCAGCCCAGTGCCCCCCACCCTCCCTGGGAACAGCACCTCAGCTCCTACTAATCCCCTCTCCCTCCACATGACCTGGGTGGGGCTCTGGGCGGCCATGAGCTTCGAGCCTGGCCGATGAAAGCACCCTCCTCCTTGCCTGCCAGTGTGGCTCAGTGGCTGAAGGTCGACCCATGCACCAAGAGGTCACAGGCTCGAGTCCCAGTCAGGACACATGCCCAGGTTGTGGGCCAAATCCCCAGTGGGGGGCAGGCGGGAGGTGCGGATCAATGTTCTCTCTCATCAGTGTTTCTCTCTCTCTCTCCCCCTTCCTAGCACCCTCCTCATTTCCCTCCAGGCTGCAGGGACTGGCCCAGGCTTAGGTACAGCCAGTCAGGGAAACATTTCAATGAGTACCATGACTGGCTTAAGGGGCGGTGGTGATTCTAGGTGAGCCAATGAGAACCAGGTGTTCCACCTCAGGGGCAGGTCTGCCCAGCCCTACCTGCTCGCTGCGGGTCCTTCTCCAGCCGGAATCCGCCCGCGAGCAGCATCTCGGCCTCTCTGGCCAGCAGCACGTGCCGGGGCTCGCCCTGCACCCCGTCGTACTCCCCGGCCTCGTCACAGTCCGTGGTCTCCAGGGCGCTGCTGTACCAGCGCAGAGCCTCTGGCCAGTCCTGGGACCTTGGCAGGGATAACGAGGAAAAGAGGGAGGTTACCATGCCAACGGGCAGGAGGGAGAAGTCAGGGACCCCAGGGGACCACCACCTACAGAGCACGACCCCCAGCACCTGAAGCCACCACATCTAAGGGCGCCGTTCACACTCCAGACTATATTTACGGAGAGAGAGTCTCCGGCTTTCCCTAACGAAGCCGGTATGTGGCAAGTTTCTCACGAGCAGAGCAGGGCAGGGCATTTTGAGGAAGAGGGGCATTTTCCCATGTTGATCAAGGTATCACCCTGTGGGCCAGCATTAGCCGTGGCTGGCACCCCAGTCATCTGCCCTATGACTAGGTAGGAGAGGAGGGGAGTGGGGGCCCTCTGCCAGGGCCTCCAGAACCGGGGGGGGGGGGCATCTCACAGCCCTGGCTCCCCGCCAGCACCAGCGGCTCCTGGGGACAGCTGGCGCCCTCTGGCTCTGCTCCCCAGGCCCCCCAGCCCCCCTTTCTCCTGCTGCAGTGTGTGACTGGCCAAACCACAGGGCACACAGGTTCCCAGCAAGTGTAAGCACAGCACAGAGCTACAGGGCGGCAGCTCTTCCCTCTGGGGCGAACCGCCTGCGTTACCAGGCACGGAGCATTCGCAGCACCTCAGGGAAGAGGCCGAGAGAGAGGCGCAGATAAGGTTTGTGGGTCTCGGGAAGCGTTCCAGGAAAACAGCTACAGTGACTTGCTGTCCTCTCCCCCCAGGCGCTCCCGGACCTGGCTCAGCCCTAGTTTCAGCTCCTGCCCGCCCCGCATGCCAGGCTTCCTGTTCCCCACTCGCCAGCTCCCATCGCTTGGAGAGTTCTCTCCCACTCTTCCCACACCTGGCTCCTCCTCCCCGCAAACTCAGCGCCTTCAGAGACGTCCCCAAACGCCCTCTTCTCACAATTACCTCGGTCTGTTCACTCATTCCTGTGATCCGCTTCGAGGAGATCAAAGCCCAGGAGGCAGGGACCAGGGGAGGGAAACACGGGCTGAGATGGCCTCGGGGGCTAACCTGGGCTCCACTGCACGTTACAGCCAAGGGAGATCTTTGAAAATTACTGGTGACACAGCTAACAAACCAAGGTTTTCACATCTGTCTGGAAGCCACTACCTCGATCCCCCTCACCTCTGAGCCGCCCTGGTCTTCAAGGGTGCGGCGGAGCTGCCCTGAACTGTTACATGAAAAGGGGGGAGGCCGATCTCTCCCGCCACCACCCCACGCGACTCCACACCCAGTGCTGAGGGTACCCACCCTGCTCTGGAATTTCCAGTGCTTCTGCTTCCCCACCAAGTGGTAGCTTCTGAGAAGGTGGGACCCCTTACGTGCAAATCTGGAGCCACACGGGCCCTGTCTCACCCCCGCGGGCCCTGCCTCACCCCCGCGGGCCCTGCCTCACCCCCGCGGGCCCTGTCTTACCCAGAGTGGCCCTTAATTAATGCTCCCTGAATGGAAGAGGCTGGAGCTGCTTGGAATGAGAAAGAAGAATAAGAAAATGACTATAGTAAAAGCTACATTAAAAGAACTTTGACAGATTTAACTACATAAATATCAAAAATCGATGTATCCACAAACCTATAAACAATGGTCACCAAGTGGCACATTGGCCAGCACATCCCCCACACCCAAGGTCATTATCTCTGAAGAAACATTTCTGAAGTCAACTCACAGGCCAAAGAGTTAATAGCATCAATATATAAAAAATTCTTACAAATCAACAACAAAAAAAACTATCATGTCAAAGAAAAAGTGGGCCAAGGTCATGAAAACAGAGCACAGACTCTGAGGGGTCCAGCTGCAGCACCCCGCCCACGCCGTTTCCCCACCACACTCAGTGGCACCGGACATGCTGGCACTGGCTCTGACACAGTCACGGTGTCGTCTTTGTTCCCTCCCCTCCGTGACAGTCTGGCTCTGAGTCTCAGAAGCAGGCCGAACAGACAGGCCACTGCAGGACCCGGGTTCAGCTCTGCCACTCACTCGCTCCCTGACCATGGCCAAGTCCCTTCGCCTCTCAAAACTACAGTGGACTCGTTCATAAAACGGGGCCAAACACCCTGCCCTGTCTGTGCTAAGAGCCGTGTTGGTTCATTCATTCAAACAGCTGCTGAGCCAGGCCCTGCGGAACACTAGACCTCAGACGTGTGGAGGACCCGCCCTTGCTCTCCGTGAAATAGTCTCCAGCGCGAGAGTGGTCCAGACTAAGGGAGCACTCCAGTAGTGCCTTACGCATTTTTGCACGATATGGAATACAGGCAGGAGGTCACGGATCCAGGTGTCTTGGACCCTGGACGTCTGATAGGATAGAGCCACAATCCTGACTTTCCTTCTAAACCCAGTGAGAGGGAGAGGAGACCTCAACCCAAAGAGAAACTGCCAGGCTGCTCCAACCCGGAGGTTTCAAGGATGAATGTGCTCGCCCTGCCGCCTCGGGCTCCTAAGCACAGCAGGGGTTGCTGAGATCCAAAGGGAACCACAGAGCGTCCGCAATAGGTCCCATTGCGGGGTTCAATACCCCCAGCTGTCCTCCCTCAGCCGGACCTGTGGGACGTCCTACTGGTCAAGCCAAGGTGAGGAGGTAGAGCTGGGCCCTGCTCCCTCCCCCACTGCAGAAACCAGTCCTGGCGCCTCAGGGGCAACAGAAGAGCAGCTAGCTCCCTGGCCTGCCCCTCAGGAGTCTCAGAGCCGCTGGGGAAACTCACGCCAGGCCTGAGCTCACCCCTGGAACTTGCTTATTTTCCTCCCCTCCCTCTCGGAAGTAAAACATAACAAAAGTAAAAGTAGAAAGAGTACATTCTAATCACCCATAATCCTAACATCAGGGACAAGCACTGTGCGCTGGATGCTGCACGTCCATCCAGACCCTGACCTGTCACGGCCACGCTGCTGCCATGGATATCGTGCTTGCTGTGCCACGACAGAAACCATCTCATTTAACCGCATACAACCACCCCAGGATGCGGGCTCTGTAACCATCCCCATTTTATGCAATGAAGAAACTGAGACCAGGGAGGTAATGTGACTTGCCCATGGCCACTGGACTGGAGCTCAGTGGGGAGCCGAGCCTGGAACCCAGGTCTGTTCTGAGAGTGGAGGGGGAAGCTCTCGCCTGCAGCCCAGGCTCCCACCAGCCCACCAGAGCAGCGGCCACAGTACCTGTCTGGGCTGAGGTTCTGGCCAGTGTCAAAAGCTCGTGCCACCAAGATCATAGACTGTCTGTCGCCAGCTCCCGCTGCCTTCAGTAAGTAATCAAATCCTTTGGTTTTGTTTTCTTCCGTCTCCTGTCAACACCAAGCAGAGAGGGGAAGAGAGAATGAAGCTGGCATTGGAAGGTGATGCCGTGATGCCAGGATCCAGTGATCAATCTTCTCCCCGTTTCCTGAACTGTGTCGAGAGCTCTGGGTGTGGAATTCCTCGTGGTGAGAAGAGAACAGGCTAGCCCCCTGATCAATGGAACCTTGGCCCTCTCCTGCTCACTGTCTGCTCTGATTCTTCCAGAGAGACACTCATCTCCTGCCGCCAATGGGGCTCTCTGCTTCCACTCTTTAAAAAATGTTTAGCAGTCTTATTGAGATGTAATTCACATACCATACAATTCACCCGCTGAAAGTTTACAATTCAATACTTTCAGTATATTCACACAATGTGCACCCATCACCGTAACAATTTCAGGCAACCAAAACCTCGTCACCTCCAAATTGCCCCATCTCACCCTGGGCAACCACCCATCTGTCGTCTGTTCCCAGAGATGTCCCTATTCTGGGCATTCAGTATAAAGGTAATCATACACTATGCAGCTGGCTTCTTTCCCTCAGCATGACGTTTCTAGGTTCGCCTGTTATAGCAGGTGTTGGTGCTGCATTCTTTTTATGGCCAAATAACACTCCATTGTGTGGATAGAACACATTCCATTTATCCACTCACTAGTCATCAGTTGATGGATATTGGGGTTTCCCACTTCCTGGCTATTATGAGTAATGCTGCTGCGAACATGTGTGTCTTGGTTTTAGGTGAGGACATAGGTTTTTTAAAAAAATATGTTTTATTGATCTTTAGAGAGTTAGGGAGAGAGAGAGAGAGAAACATTGATGAGAGAGAAACATCCACTGGCTGCCTCCTGCTCACCCCCTACTGGGGATGGAGCCTGCAACCTGGGCACGTGCCTGACCGGGAATCAAACTGGTGACCTCTTGGTGCATGAGACCATGCTCAACCACTGAGCCACGCCGGCTGGACAGGATGCATGTTTTTAATCTCTTGGGTATACACTATGGAGTGGAATTACTGGGTCACATGTGTCTGTTTAACCTTTGAGAAGCTGCCCAGCTGTTTTCCACAGTGGCTATGTTCCCACCAGCTTCCATTTTGCTCCCCAAATATCTACTCCAAAGCAGCAGGCAGAGAAATGCCTCTGAAGCCCAAGCTGAGTCAATTACTCTAACAAAGCTGCTCCAAGCCTTCCCATCTTCCTCAGAGACAAACCCAAAGCCCTCATATCAACCTCTTCAACCTTTAGGCTTCAAGAAGTGAGCCAGAGTCCTGGCCGGTTTGGCTCAGCAGTTAGAGCATCAGCCCACGGAACAGAGTTGCAGGTTTGATTCCAGTCAAGGGCACATACTCAGTTGTGGTTTGGTCCCCAGCCCTGGTCAGGGTCGTGCAGGAGGCAACCGATTGATGTCTCTCTCTCTCTCTCTCTCTCTCGCTCCCCCTCCCTCCCTCCCTCCCTCTCTATCTGAAGATAAATGGAAAAATATCCTTGGCTGAGGATTTAAAAAAGAAAGAAGTGAGGCAGGGCCTGCCAGTTGTCCTCCACATCCATCCTCGCCCACATGTCTTTGCTGGTACACGGCGCACCAGCTAGAGACTGCATTTCCCAGCCTTCTCCTGCTGCTGGAACCTGGGTCTGAATACCAAAGGCCTCTCCAGTCACTCTTGATCACATTCCCTGCCATACTTTCTCCCCAGTGATACTGTTGTAACTCACTAGTTATTAATACTAGAAATGGAGCAAAGGGAAGCCAGACATTATAGACATGTCATTTGGGCAGCTTCACCAGGAAGCTGCAATTTCACACTCCCCAGGGAACCACTGGCACATTCCCTGCAGATCACTGGGGGAAGGGGTCCGACAAAGGGCAGAAAGATGCATACACAGTGAAGTTGGGGTGATGTAGAGACGGTGTCTGTTAGTCACACCTGAGAACAGAGATCATTGGCCAGAATGAGTGTGACCACTGCAAGCCCACGAAAATTTGGGAATACATAACCCCCTAAACAAAGGAATTCTCTCTTGTGGCTCCTGGCTCTCTCACATACGGGCCCCACACACAACGGATTCATGGACTGCAGAGAGAAACACAAACTAAGCTGGCCTGACCGCCCCAGTCCTTAGGTCCACCATCCTGTTGCCCCTCTGCCTGAACTGCTCTCCTCTCAAGTACCACTGCGCTGTTAGGTCTAACTTAAATATCATTATTCATTGATTTCACAAACAAACACTGAGCCCCTACTGTGTGCTGGGCTCTGTCCTAGCCTCTAAGGATACCGCTGGAACCGGCTATCAGGAAGTAGGCGTTGACCCCTGAACACCCCAGCCAGGGCCCTCCCTCATTTGTTTCCACCTGTCTTTTCTGCTTCTCCCATCACACCTGCCATAATTGTCTGGAAGTGGGACTGTCCCCTTCCACTCACTCCCCAAGGGCAGAGACTAATTCTACCAGTTTCCACCAACCTGGAGGTGCCTGGCCTCTAGCTGGTGATCAGGATCTCCCAGGGCAGCGGGGACTGGTTGGCTGATGAAGGCTAGCCGGCTGGGCCCCAGCCCCTCTCACCTTCAGAGAGACGTCAGCCAGGATGTGGTGGGGCAGCTGCGAGTACATGAGTCCCAGGCCCACGATGGCCTCCAGCTCGCCCAGGTCAGCTGCATGCTCCAAGTGGAAGACGGCCGACTCTCGGTCCCACTCCTCGTCCTTCTTGCAGAAGCGCCCACCCTCATGGTAGCGCACCATGGCCAGATGGACCTGCCACACAGACGTGGGTATTGGCCAGGTGGTCTGGGAGGTCCAAGCCACACCCACGGCCCCAGCCAGCCTGCAGGAGGAAGCTATGAGTGGAGGAGGTGAGTTAGTGCGAAGAGGGGTCTGAAACAGGCATCACTGATACCTTCCCCAAAATGGACTTCCCGATTTTCTTTTCAAGGTCCAGAGTATTAAGCCTTTGCACTTCGAAGGCCACGGCTGAAGGCCTCGGCAGGTGGAGGCGGGAGGAGTTAAGGAGATTCCACTTCTCCACACAGACCTGAAGGGAGAGAACCGGGCATGGCGAGTCTCCAGGCCAGAGAAGCTGGGGCTGGGGACAGACGGGCTGGTAACAGTCGGCGGTGGCGGCTACTACCCAAGCCTGGCTGGCAAGGTGGGGAGCAAACCCTGATGGTGTAACGTTTTCTTGGACAAATAGAGTGCCGTTTCTAGTCACTGGAATTCTTTTGGCTTGTGGGGGCTGAGGGCCTGTGACAGCAACAGGAACAAAGGCCAGCAGAACAGGCCGTGGCCGTACTAAGGGGTGCTTCCCTCATGTGTCACCCTGGGTGTGGTCGGGAGCCTGGACTCAAGCTGCCTGCCCGCCAGCTCTCCACACAGCACCAGGGAGTCAGACCAGGAGCAGATCTGTCTGCTTTCCTCTGGGCATCAACTGCATGCCTCCAGGAATGTCTCCCAGCTAAAGACACCTGTTTAAAGGTTCTCACAGAGCCCTGGCCGTTTGGCACAGCGGTTGGAGTGTCGGCCTGCAGACCAGAGAGATCCGGGTTCGGTTCCCACTAGGGGCACGTACCAAATAAAAGAAATAAAAAGGTTCTCGCAGAGCCAGGCATCTGTGTGCACCAAACATCCCATAGTGCACAGGGCAGCCCCCACGCAAAGGGTGGCCCAGCTCGAAATGCTGATGGTGCCACGGCTGACAACCCTGACCCTGCCACGCTGAGCCCTTTGCCCAAGAACATGTGGTAAGTAGCCTGTGTTCTAGAGGGAGCAGGAGTGAGGCTGCTGCAGGGACCTGGGCAGGCTCCAGGTGCAGTACGGCTGGGGGGCGGCTGGGGGGGGGCCAGTGGGCGAGCAGGCAGGCTGGGAGGAGAGACCATGGGGCAGGAAGGGCCTTGCAGGCGGGAGAGACTCGCCCTACCAAAGGCTGGGAGCAGAGGCTCAAGTATGTTTCAGAATGAGCTAGAGAAGAGCGTGATGCTCCCGAGGGCTGTCCCCCCTGCACCTGTGCGATGGCCCTGCTCATCTAAGGTGCTTGCTGGAGCTCCCGAGGGCTGGTCCCCCCGCACCTGTGCGATGGCACTGCTCATCTAAGGTGCTTGCTGGAGCTCCCGAGGGCTGTCCCCCTGCACCTGTGTGATGGCACTGCTCATCTAAGGTGCTTGCTGGAGCTCCCGAGGGCTGTCCCCCTGCACCTGTGTGATGGCACTGCTCATCTAAGGTGCTTGCTGGAGCTCCCGAGGGCTGTCCCCCCTGCACCTGTGTGATGGCACTGCTCATCTAAGGTGCTTGCTGGAGCTCCCGAGGGCTGTCCCCCCGCACCTGTGTGATGGCACTGCTCATCTAAGGTGCTTGCTGGAGCTCCGAGGGCTGTCCCCCTGCACCTGTGTGATGGCACTGCTCATCTAAGGTGCTTGCTTGAGCTCCCGAGGGCTGTCCCCCCGCACCTGTGTGATGGCACTGCTCATCTAAGGTGCTTGCTGGAGCTCCCGAGGGCTGTCCCCCCGCACCTGTGTGATGGCACTGCTCATCTAAGGTGCTTGCTGGAGCTCCGAGGGCTGGTCCCCCCGCACCTGTGTGATGGCACTGCTCATCTAAGGTGCTTGCAGGAGCTCCCGAGGGCTGTCCCCCCGCACCTGTGTGATGGCACTGCTCATCTAAGGTGCTTGCTGGAGCTCCCGAGGGCTGGTCCCCCCGCACCTGTGTGATGGCACTGCTCATCTAAGGTGCTTGCAGGAGCTCCCGAGGGCTGTCCCCCCGCACCTGTGTGATGGCACTGTTCATCTAAGGTGCTTGCTGGAGCTCCCGAGGGCTGTGCCCCCTGCACCTGTGTGATGGCACTGCTGGAGCTCCCGAGGGCTGTCCCCCCGCACCTGTGCGATGGCACTGCTCATCTAAGGTGCTTGCTGGAGCTCCCGAGGGCTGTCCCCCCGCACCTGTGCGATGGCACTGCTCATCTAAGGTGCTTGCTGGAGCTCCCGAGGGCTGTCCCCCCGCACCTGTGTGATGGCACTGCTCATCTAAGGTGCTTGCTGGAAACCAGGCAATGATGTGGGGGGAGTTGCTTCGGGCCCGTTTCTCATACGTGAAATGGGGTGAGTAGCACCAGCCTGTCTCATGGGGAGGGTGTAAGGAGGAGGTGAGCCACTTAATGGGTAGGATTTTAATGTGGGCTGTGACTGAGCTCCAGGATGGGTGCCTGGCATCACTAATCCTCCCTGAGGGGCCCCCATCATCCTGCGCAGGGCAGGGGCTCAAAAAGTATCTGCCAAGGGGATCAGCTCCTTTGCAGCATCTCCCTTCGGGAGACGTGAGGCGCCTGGGTGGGCTGCATGAGTGACGGAGAAACAGAAAGCCCGGAGAAGGCAAGCACGCAGCCGTGACAGGTTCTCAGGAGCATTACCCGTCCGGAGCTGCCCAGGCTGTCTTCATCCGACTCGCACCTCCGGCTACCGTCTGAGTGGCCCTGTGGACGCAGACAACAGTGGTCCAGAGAGCAGCTCTTCCTCCCAAGACTGGTCTCGCCAAGAACCTCCTCCTGGGAAACTGCTCCAGCCCTCCCTGGGGCCTCTCACAGGGAACTGGCCCGACCCCCACTAAGGAGGCTGGAACCCGGCCTGGCCAGCAGAAGGGATGCTGGGTAATCAGCAGAACCAATGTGCTGGGGGGCCACAGCCTTCCTCTGGCTCCCCTGTGTGCACAGAAGGTACCGACCCAAAGGCACAGGATTGCAGAAAGCTGGGCCAACGCCTTCCTCTAGCCAAAGCGCCCACCCATGTCTCAACAAAGCTGACACCAGAGGGCTCCAGCAACACGGCCTTGATGCTCAGCCCTGGCACAGGGCTAACCCTTTAAATGGCTATGACACCACCATGGGCCACCCTGCCCAGGCTGCCGGGATCCCACCCATACCAGCAGTATGCCAGCCTATTACCCAGCATCCTCTCTGCTTAGCCACTTTCAACCTTGGGTCCCACCCCCCATACTGGGCTCCTGACTACACTCACTGGTCCCCCCTACCCTATTTTATCTCCTGCCCTGCATTCGCCTTTTTCTGAAACGATCTCACTTGGTATTTACCTGTCATGTTCTCACTCGCATCCGCTCTACCTCTCTACCCTCCCAGACAATGAGGCAACAGAAAACTCTGGGCTCATTTCCCGGGAGTTCCTTACATGTTCTTGGGGCTCTGGGTCATCCAGCTCACCCCGCTTCTCACTGGGGTATCCGCTATCCCCACTGTTCTCAGAGTCCTGTGGAGAGAAGATGTCCTGAGGGTCTCAGTGGCCCTCTGAGTACCTGGTGGTGGAGACACCTGGACATCCCAGCTCTCTCTCCTCTGTCCCCAATCATCTCACTTAACAGTCTCCTCCTGCCCTTGCTAGCCTGGAGCAGTGTAAAGTGGTGGTGAAGAGCCTGGGCCCTGGAGCCAGGCTGCCTGGCTCCAATCTGAGCTTTGTGACCCGTCAGCTGTGACCATGGGCAGCTGCTACGCTCTCTGAGCTTCAGTTTCGTAGCTATGGGAACTCATGATAGCACCTATGTCAAAGGGCTATGCGGAAACCGACAATGGGAACCACACTACATGCTATTGTTAAGTGTGGCTCACCCATTTCACAGGCAGGAAAACAGAGGCTGGTATAAGGGACATAAGCCATAGACAAAAATGCAGCATTGGGAACAATATTTACTTCAACTAAGCTGTCTGCCAAAACTGCATGGGTCGCCGGGGTATGTTTTTTTATTCCAGATCTGAGTTCTGTTCAGAAAGGGAATTTGGTGTAATTTACAACCTGTAATAAAACTACAGTCGTCTGTCGACCAGCTGAGTTCTGCATGTCCCCTGCACCACCCTTCAGCTCAAACCTTCACTATTCTCCTTCTTCACTTTACTAAGAAGTATTTCAAATGCACAAGGAAGGACAGAGAATAAAGATGAACTCATGCACCTGTCATCCAGCTTTGTCAACTCGTAATATCAGGCCTTAGTTACTTTGGATCTCCTATTTTTAAAAGGAATGAAAACATTCCTGTTACGTTGTAGACCCTCTGTGCGTCTCTCCCCAGCCGGCTCTCTCGCCCTCCAGATACAGCCACTTTCATGAGCTCATACTTCTCATTTGTAATTTTTCTTTAGATAAGCCGTTTATTTTACTCGTGTAAACATCTGTTTTAAAGAAGCTTGGCATCACCGCTTGAACGTGAAACCTGGGCCACTCCCCTGAACAGGTGGGAGCCACACAAACGTACACAGTGGAACTGCAGTCCCTGGCCTGGCCGGGACCCCTCCCCCCCAGGAGCCCTGCGGGCTTCCCTCCCAGCTCCCTCAAGGCTTTGACTCTGTGTGAGCTGAAAGGCTATTCTGTTGGGGTTTCTTTCTCCAATTTTTAAAATTGAGGTGTTCTTCAGAACACCGAGCTGAAGTTTTCAGGGAGTGGGGTGAAAGGCCATGCAGACTGTCCTCAGAAGCTCCACCTTGCACCCTGCCCACTGCACGACCTTGAACCCCTTGTCCCCCCTCTGGAGTCCCGACCGAGCTGAGTAACAGGGCGCCTCAGGCAGACCCAGTTCTGGTTCCTGGGTGAGGCAGCCAAGCTCTCTAGACTTGGGTCCCCTATCTGCGTAATGGGGGACGGCCCCTCGGGGATGCAGAAGAGGCCAAGGGCAGCAGGCAGGGGTGAGTCGAACCCTGGCTCCACCACGGAGAGCCCAGCAGCAAGCGGCCTCACCTCGCAGCGTCCTCACGCCTCACGCCCAGCGGGGACGGAGAAAACGGCCAGGAGGCTGAGGGGCGTGGGGAGCGAGATGCTCTCCAGCTGATTCTTTGTACCTTCTCCTTTTCAACGAAGAATGGATGGCCTATTCTGAAATTCTAAAATCTATTCTAATTCTAGAATAAATTTCATTATAGAAGGGACTTTGAAAATCTCCCTCACAGGCTGCTATGAGGATAAACTGGGAGTACCCAGCAGGTGCTCAGCACAGCGTCTGCCCAGCGAGAGCCCACATGTGTCAGCTGCTACTTCTTCCTGCCCCCAGGATTCTGACAGCAGTCAAGAGTAGACATACACCTTCGGAGCCATGTGAGGGTGCAAGGGACCTGGCGGGTATAAAAGTCCCTCTGAATGTTAAATCAGACACCATGGTGTGTTTGCCTCAATGCAAATACGATGCTTCCAGTTTCTTACCAGGGAGCCCCAGAGGCTGCAAGAACGGTTCCCTGTCCAACCTGAGGTCCCCAGACTGTGCTGTGACACGTCTGAACCCACCCACTCCTCCCCCAACACAGCTGTCCGCACAGCGTGGCCAGACCAGCTAAGGGCTGAGCCAGCACCTACTAGGGCGAGCTCTGGTTGATTCGGATTCCCTCTCCTCTAACCACTTCGGGGAGGGGAACGGACCCAGCTCCTTCCAAAAGACATCGCTGCCTGGGGCAGAAGGCTGAGATTCGCCTGCATTCCCCACCACATCCCTGCGCCCTCCCGGCCCTGCTCCCCCTGCCCTCCCCACTCACCCGATGGTTGTCCAGATGGTTGTGGTCTTGGGGAGCCATGCTGTCAGGGTCACTGAACACAGGCCAGTCTGGGCAGGGAGGAAACAGACAGACGATGCACTGGGTCCCGAGACCAGCAGTTCCCAAGACCGACCCACCACCCAGAGCTGACTGCACCTGGTGAAGCCTTTTTTCTTTTTAAAAATTTAAAGAAAGGGGCAAGAAAGGTAGGAGAATGTTGTCGGCGCCTGGGGGCTGCAGTTCTTCCTCGAGAAGTTTCTCTAAGTCCGCCATCTGCCTGCCACAGGCCCTCAGCAAGGGGCTGAAGAGGGAGGGCCGTTATAACCCAGCACGTTTGTGTAGCATTGTTGTGGGGGGGTGTGCGTGGCCCATGGGGGGCCTTCGTGGGGTGCAGTTGTGAAGGAAGAAAGACCATTTGTATATTCGGGGCCCAATGAGGGCCTACAAGTGGGGGAGTCCCGGATGGCTTCAAAACCAACCCCTTTTCCTGGTGGTCCCCAGTGTGTCTCCTGCCTCAGCTTCTGAGCCAAACCCGGTTTGGCTCCCATTTTCAAATGGTTTTTAAAGAATAGTTTTACGGGGGAAAGGAGAGACATCTGTAATCTTTCCAATAATGAAGATTAAAAAAATGGTTGTTTTTACATTTTTAAATGGTGGGGGAAAAGCAAAAGAATAGTCTCTTCTGATACGTGAAAACGACATGGCTTGAAGCTGCACTGTCCACAGACGGCGTCCTGGAAGGAGCCGCACCTGTCTGCTCAGGCCAGCCACCTGCAGCCGGTGGCCGAAGGGCCCAGAAGCTCTCCCCCGGCCTTTTTCTTTTTAATCCTCACCTGAGGATATTTTTCTATTTATTTTCAGATAGAGTGGGAGGGAGGGAGGGAGAAACACCGACGTGAGAGGGACACGTCCATTGGTTGCCTCGAGGACCAACTGCAACTGGGGTATGTGCCCTTGACCGGAATCAAACCCGTGACTCTGGTCCGCAGGCCGACACTAACTGCTGAGCCAAACCGGCCAGGCCTCCCCGGCTTTTTAAGAACAAATCTGTCAGCGCCTGTTCCAGAAAGTTCCCAAGGCCTTCCAAGGGAGACGTCTCTAAGGCTTCTTGAACATTTGACGGTGAAACCCTCCCAACCACCTTCCAGTTCTTCCAGCAAACTCGGCACCGGCCCTGCTTCCGTCTTCCCCGCAGACCCTCGCTCAGTGTCAGCCAGCTGTCCCTGCAGCTGCAGAAATAAGGCTGGCTTCTCTCCTCCGACCCGCTCACTGGGTGTTACCCCGTTCCCGACGGTGAACGCCCTGACTCCTGTGAGAACCGTGACCGTGACAGGCAAGTCCCCTAAGGTACCAGCAGTCTTCGTTTGTTCATACCTTACTTGGAATTTCTGTACTACGTGTTTGTAAGTGAGGGTTCAATACAGCTTTCTGTTTGGGTGTTTTGTCAAGTGTGCTAGTTTCATAAAACACACTGACAAATGTTTTCTCACCACAGGAGACACCCAGCCGCACCTGGAGCATTGGCTGAGAGCCCCCGTGAAACCCCCGGGCCGCGCAGCTTTCTGGTCAGCGTGTCTAACCCTCTAGAGCTAACGAGAGCCGGTGCAGCTCTGCAGACCTGGCGCCTGGCCCCCCCAGCACCAGGCCCAGGGACCGGACAGCACTCACGGTCCAGCTTCTGGCTGTGCGGAGTGGCCGAGGACGGGGAGGACGAGAGAGAGTCGGTCACGTCACTCATGTTCTCGTCTCCAGAGTTCTCCGACAGGCGCAGCAGCAGGGGTGGCCGGCTCCCAGAGAAGGTCCTCACTCGGGGGCTCCCACACTTTTCCTCTGTTCCCCTCAAGATGGTCTTGGCTGACTGCTGGAGAATGAGCAGGGACACTCATGTCACACAGGCACCATCTGGGGAACGAGGGCCTTCTTGCTACCTGGTGCTGCCCCGGACTCTGAGGCCCCGTGGCTCTTATACATGCCCGATTAGGGAAAAACCTGAAAATAATCAGTGAGGGGAATTGGGAATAGGAGCCGGCCAGCCAGCACGCCCCGAAGCGCTGACCACACTGCCCAGCCCTGCGCTGGGGAATACATGCCACTTCCTGTTCAGAATTCCAGCTGGGCTCTGCCAACATCTCTTGTATCTGGTCCACACAGCGGGAGTGCAGTGGGCACGTCCTGGACACAGCGAGGTGCCCACACAGCCAGGTCCAAGTCTACTTCAGTGACCTGTCAGCACACCCAGACACCCCCCCACACACACACCACACACACCCTGGACACAGCGAGGTGCCCACACAGCCAGGTCCAAGTCTACTTCAGTGACCTGCCAGCACACCCAGACACACAACACACACACACCACACACACCCTGGACACAGCGAGGTGCCCACACAGCCAGGTCCAAGTCTACTTCAGTGACCTGCCAGCACACCCAGACACACAACACACACACACCACACACACCCTGGACACAGCGAGGTGCCCACACAGCCAGGTCCAAGTCTACTTCAGTGACCTGCCAGCACACCCAGACACACAACACACACACACCACACACACCCTGGACACAGCGAGGTGCCCACACAGCCAGGTCCAAGTCTACTTCAGTGACCTGCCAGCACACCCAGACACCCCCCCACACACACACCACACACACCCTGGACACAGCGAGGTGCCCACACAGCCAGGTCCAAGTCTACTTCAGTGACCTGTCAGCACACCCAGACACACACCCCCACACACAAACACCACACACACCCTGGACACAGCGAGGTGCCCACACAGCCAGGTCCAAGTCTACTTCAGTGACCTGTCAGCACACCCAGACACACAACACACACACACTTCTCTCCCAACCTCTGCTCACCTGGTCTCACTCTGGTCAAAAATGGGCCAAATCGAGCAGAACCCCTGACGCTTAGTGGGGCACGCAGGAGGGCTTTGTGTGCTGATGTGGGAGGATGAGGGGCGCAGATGGGACTGAGATTCCTCTGGCCCTGAAGCTCCACTGCTGGCCTGGGCCACGGTCACAAGCGCAGCGTGGCTCGCTGGCCCCGGCAGCGGGAGGCCCCCAGCCCCACAGGCTCCCGCCGGGCACCCACCAGCAGCCTGGTGCTCTGGTTCACGGCGTCCTGCTCTCTGGGCGAAAGGTCGAAGGGCGCGAGGCCCATGCTCCTGCAGATGCGGTTGCAGGCGTGGGAGTAGAAGAAGAGCGCCATGCCCCGGACACCTGCGGACAGGACCACGCTGACGTGGGGCGTCCCACGCCCAGGTCCCACCACCACCACCTTGGCAATGCCCACAGGCAGACTCGGCCTGCTTCTCCTGAGTACAAAGAGCTGGGAGATTTGAGGGGGTGTGGTCTCCGTGGAAACGGGCTGGCTTTCCCCATCTACCTAGGTTGCCATCTCCAAAGTCAGTGCCCTTCTCAGTGTGGATCTGCGGGTCGGTGTAGAGGTCGCCCACACCCTGGATGTCCACCACAATCAGCTGGTGGCCGGAACGCTCAAATGTGAAGTGGCTGAAGGCCTGTGGGGAAACAGGAAGGAAAGGGTGGTGAGAGCTGTGGGCTGTGTGGGCATCGGCCAGCCGCCACTCTGAGACCGGGGCATGGCAGCTCTGCCCATGGGGCGGGACCTTCTCCGCCCTGAGGCGTTGTTTAGAGGAAAAGATAGAGAAAGGGGTCCTGTTTCATTTGGCAGGGACCTCAGGGGGGCTGACAGGACTGGCAAGGGGTAAAGGGATGCTCTACAGGCTGGAGGGCCTCTGGGGGTGACCCCCCCCACGGGGACCCTCCACCCCAGGGGCCTCACCTGCGGGGTCAGGCGCATGTCATCACGGACGAAGCCCGAGTTGGAGTTGTACTTGATGTACTTGCCCTCGATGTAGTGCTCCAGGTGGAAGAGGGGTGTGCCCGGCCTCTCCTTCAGCTCCAACACGCACATCTGCACAATGTCCACCTGGTGGGGGGCGGGGGTCAGGGGGGAGGCCAGAGGCCGTAGCAGAGGGGCTGGGAGGTGCCAGCCCGCCAGGACTCCATCGCGTACCGGCTCTGAGGCACAACTGCTGACTGTCCCCAGAATCCACTGTCCCTTCCTCTGACAATGTAAGCCCATGCAAGGGCCTGAATGTGTCCGCCTCCCCGAATGCATGTGCTGTGCTCTTACTCTCAAAGGTGATGGTATTAGGAGGTGGGCCTTTGAGGGAGTCACTGGCCATGAGGGTGAAGCCCCAGTGAATGGGATCAGTGCCCTGAGAGCAGACCCCACAGAGCTCCGACCCTTCTGCCGTGTGGGTCACAGCCAGAGGCGCCGGCCGAGGACCAGGAAGAGGGTCCGCACCAGAACGCGACCCCGTGGCACCTTGATCTTAGACTTCCCAACCTCTGAAGCTGTAATAAATATCTGTTGCTTATAAGTCACCCAGTGTGTGGTATTGTGTTGTAACAGTCCAAATGGACAAGTTCAGACCCAGTTTAACAAGATGCACAGCCATCCAGCTGCTCAGCTTGCCTTGCAGCTAGGTGTAGCCATGTGACCCAGCCCAGCCAGTGAGAAGTGAGCAGCAGGGACGGTGTAATTCCAGCTGCCCCCCCCACCCCCCGTCCCTTCCTGAGCTGTATGGTAGACATCAGCCAGTGAGCAAGAACTGACCGTGGGCCAGAGCAACCCAACCCCAGGATGGTAGAGCAACAGACAGAAGGAAACAGGCCTCTGACTTAAGGAGCCAAGGGACCAGTCTGCCCTGAGCACCACCCCACATTAACGAGGGACGGTTAGAGAGAAGCTCATTCGCATTAGCACATGTTTATATGTGTCTGTTCAATAACCTGGCATGTGCCTTACATGAACACTGAGTCTGGACGACTTATTTCCCTGCTCTGTGCCTCGGGCTCCTCACCTGGAATGGGAGTCTCAGAGTAGAGTAGGATGACCTCTGCCAGAGCAGGAAAGCCTGCGTCTGCTGCCGTCACTGTCACCGGCAGACACAGTTCTAGAGCAGTGCACTCAGGGCCGTGAACGGGGGAACTCACAGTCGCTGAATGTCGCGCCAAGTGCACGGCTAACTTTGTACACAGAAGAAAATGCACACGTCCTATGCTGGGTATGAGTGGGGCAGGGAACCTGCAGCTCTAACGTGTGATCTGTCCCACAGGGACCTGTCCACAACACAAGGAGCCAGGTCAGGGTTCCGCAAAGAAACGGGCAGACCGCAGCAGAGGCCGAGGGGCCCAGAGGCCCAGAGCTCAGCCTGTTCCAAGAACCAGCCTGAGGGGCAGGCGGAGCCGCCCCCGAACGCTGGCTCCCTCCCTACAGGAAACCTCAGCCTGAGGACTCACTGGGTGACAAGCAGTGGTGGGTGTGGGCAGGACAGGCCAGCTCCTGAAACACCCACAGCCTCCGCCTTCGCCAATTCACCGGTTAGCGAGTGCTAGGGACAGAGCGAACAAAGTCCCTGCCTGGGGGAAGGGCTACTGAAATATGAGCTAGATGAACAGACTCAACTGCTCTAAAGGAAGAAAGCAGACTGACAGAACGGCCTGAGGGGTCTCTGAGCAGGCGACACTAAGAGCTGAGACCTGAACCGAGCAGGCAGGGCGTGGGGACAGGGATGCAGGCTGGGGCACCAGGCACGGCCTCAGGAAGGACGAGGAGGGAGGCCAGGCCAGAGACCAGCCAACCACGGAGGTCGAAGGCCCCGAGGGTGAAGACGGGGCGTCGTGTCCACCTCACGTGGGCCTCGTTACGGGCCCTGCAAACAGCAGGTACTCGGGGTGTTCTGCCGGGTGCCTGGAAGCGTGCTGCCCTGAGGCGCCCAGGAGGTTCCTTGTACCTGGCAGGTGCTCAGACAGTGAGAGCTGAACTGTGACCTGACCTGAGGCTGGTAGAGGCCTGGAGTGCCCTTGCCTCGATGCCCACAGGCAACAGGGCTTCTGCGTGGGGGCCTCCAGCCACTCAGCACCTGGGGCTCCAGTGAAGCCAACCAGGCCGGGGCTCAGACAGCCCTGATCAGAGCCTTGGCTCCGTTTCTGCCCGCTAGGCAGGGCGCTCCACCCCTTGGGTCCCGGGTTCCCTAGGAATAGATATCCATTCCCCTTCTCCTTCTGCTTTTTCTTGGGAGCCAGCCTCTGTCTCGGGGACCCACATTCCTGGCTCCAAGGACGGGCCCATGGCGCAGGCCTGCCCACTCTGCACACGTCCTCCCTGCTCCGGTGACTGCAGACAGGCACCTGACTGCATCCCAGCCAGTGAAGCCCAGTTCTGGGACTTCCAGGGAACTTCTGGGAAACAGCTGCTGTCCCTTCACCACGTCACCGGGGAGACGAAAGCCAGGCTGCAGCTGCTGTGGCCACCACAGGCCAAGAAGCTGCCTGGGAGTGACGGCAACCGGCTGGAACACAGAGGCCAGAGAGGGAGGACACTTCCCAACCACCTCGGCTTGGGCCTGGATCCAGCCGTGCCTGAGGTCAGCCCCATTTCTCAGTCCCATGAGGCAGTGCATTTCCTTTATGGAGTAAATTCCCTTTTAGGGTTTCTGTCATTTGTAAACAAAAATCCTGACTATCAAATCCCACCTTGTAAATGGGATGAGAACGTTCCCACCCCCCCAACCTGAGCACCTGTTTTCAGGAAGAAACAACTCTGCATACACAGCATGTGGCCCTTGGGCTTGATACACGATGGTTGTCATAGCTACCAGTTAAGCCCGTGAGGAGGGAGCCCGCGACGGGCTTCGCCCTCGCCCTTGTCTCCTGCACCAGCCCTGGCTGCCTTGGGGGGCAGATGGCGAGGAGGGTGCCACACACCTGCTTGGGGGGCTTGTGCCGATTATACTCCTCTCCCCAGAGCTTGGCCTCCATCTGCAGACGTACATCCTCGAAGTACACATCCCTGTCCACCGGCTCGATGTACCGCTTTGCCACGTAGTTGGAGGCCCCCTTCCACTGCTGGGTGTGCAGGAAGTTGGACAGCTTCTTCCTGGGGGAGAGGAAGAGTAGGCCCATCTGGGCCTTGGGTTCCCGGGGATCCAGCCCTGAGTCCTCAGAACAAGAGGCGGGAGGTTGGAGGGGCTCCCCTACTGCACTGTACCCTTCAAAGAGCTGGGCGGGGACTTCAGGGACATTGGTAAAGGTCTCCCGCCCTACACCCCTTGGCCTCCAAGGACCAGCACGGAGGTGAGTGGGATACAGGGGACTTCAGGGACATTGGTAAAGGTCTCCCGCCCCACACCCCTTGCCTGCAAGGACCAGCACGGAGGTGAGTGGGATACAGGGAACTTCAGGGACATTGGTAAAGGTCTCCCGCCCCACACCCCTTGCCTGCAAGGACCAGCACGGAGGTGAGTGGGATACAGGGAACTTCAGCGACATTGGTAAAGGTCTCCCGCCCCACACCCCTTGCCTGCAAGGACCAGCGTGGAGGTGAGTGGGATGCTCTGTCCTCCCCCAGCCAGGGGTCTAGGCAGGGCCCCCGAGCACCAGGCGGTCACTTACGTCCTGAAGCACTCCCTCATTGCTCCACGGCCGAAGGGCTGAAGGACACACATGGAGGGTTATCAGTCCCCATGGCCCACCAGAAACAGCCCTGAGTCAGGAGGTCTCCCCTGGGATGGCACCCACCCCGTGGACCTCATCTCAACCCTAACTTCTCTGGCCCTGCCTCCTGTACCCCAGCACCGAAGCCTGACAGAACTTCCAACCTGGAGGCTGTGGGGTGAGAGACAGCCTCGTTCCGTCCCCCACCCAGCTGAGCAGAAGCCCCATGGGGTGAGGATGTCACGGGGCAGCAGGTGGGGAGGACGCTGCACGAGAAGGGAAGTGTGCGCAGTCGTCTGTACAGAACCCTCAACCGCACAGCAAGTCACATGTGTTCACGCGGTGAATCACTGCACAGCCATGAGAATGGACGTATTGGTTCCAGCAACAGGCGCCAAGCTCACGGACAGATGCTGAGCAGAGCGTCCTGAGAGCACACCTACACGATGGGCAAGACCGGCCAGGGCGACCGGACTCGGGCGGCGTGACCCTCAGGGGTAAGGGCGCAGGGACAGGCGGTGTCTTGAGCTGGGTGCTGTGACGCGTGGGTTCATGCTGGGAAACGCGCCAGTGGTGACAGCCTCCCACGCCACCCCCACTGCGCAGGAAGAGGCCGGCGGCCAGCGCGGTCCACACTGCGGCTCAGTGAGGGGAGCCCGCACCTCCAGGAAACCTTTACGGCCAACTGCTGCTCGGCAGGAGTGCCAAGGACACTGATGTGTGACGAATATATGAAATGCCCAGGAGGGGAGATGTATAGGGACATAGGTAGCTTAGCGGCGCCAGGGCGGGTGGCCGAGGGACGGGGCGCTGGCTGCCACGGCTCCGCCTGGGTCTCCTCTGGGGACGGCGAGCGGTTCCCGAAGGGACCGCGGCGCTGGCTGCACAACTCCGCCCCCACCAAAACACGGAACCGCACACCTCGAAAGGCTGTGTCGCATGGTGTGTGATTAGCTCAATAAGGACGTTAAAAAAATTAAATCTACGATACTAGAAAGAATCCCCCAGAGTTCGAAACCGAAGTGGGTGTGGAGGAGAGGGGACAGGCACTGGAGTCAGCTCCGCCCTGCCCGGGCGGGCACCTGCTCACCTGAGAGGCCATCTTGATCAGGACGTCATCCTCCAGCCACTGGCCGGTGACAGCGTTGTACCTGCAGACACAGAAGCCCCCAGGGCGCAGCACCCGTCACCTAACCCTGTCACTGGCGAAGGGTGAGAGGCCCTTCTGGGCTCCCGCTGCCTCGGATCAAGCCCTCCCCTCAGTGGCTCAGCCGACCTCTGGGTGGGGTCTGTGGACAGGCTCCTCCCCTCCCAGCCCCGTGCTAGCCTCCTTCCCTGTCCTCAAACACAGGGTGCCCCATCCACCGAGCCCCTTCAGCACCCACTGCTGCGCTGCAGGCAGGCTCCCCCAGGCCGTGGTGCCCCCCGGGCTGTGGTATCCCCCTGGCCGTGGTGCCCCCTGGCCGTGGTGTCCCCCAGGCTGTGGTGTCCCCCGGGCCGTGGTGTCCCCCAGGCTGTGGTGTCCCCTGGCCATGGTGCCCCCCTGGGCCATGGTGTCCCCGGGCCCCCGGGCTGTGGTGCCCCCTGGCAGGCCCAGGCAGGCCTGTTCACTGCGGGGCCCATTGGGGGAGAGCTTACTACATGCACAATGGAGAAGCGACCAGGTAAGTAAATGTCGTTATCGTAACTGGGCTACATGACAAGTGGCGTGCCAGGCACCTGTGTGCAGCCCAGCCGGGCCGAGCTCGCTGGGTGTCTCCGCAGCTGTCCAGCGAGGGCGGAGGTGGGCGGTCCTGCCTCTGCCCAGCCAGGAAAGGGGCGGCTGGATGCACGCCCGGCTCTCCCTCGCCAGGAAGCCTCCCTCCACCAGCCCGGCTCCCCTGGGCCTGGCTGAGCCTCACACAGGTCTGCCTGGCAGGAAGCGCCTCAGCTCAGCAAATGTGTATCCCCAATGTCCCCCAGGGCGGAGGTGCTCTCCACTCCAGCAGAGGCCTCCCTGGCCCACCTCAGTGGGGACAGACGCAAGAACACGCCCAGCCCCGGGAGAACAGCTTCTCAGAGCCTGAAAGCTCCCCGAGGAGGATGGGCAGAGGCCGGGGAGACAGCCTGCCCCAGGCCTGACGGGAAAGGCTCACCACTAGCCCGTGCCAGGGACTGTGCTCAGTAAATAATAGCAGTGATTATTATTACTATGTAGAGCCGAAAGTAGGGGAAATAGTCTTCCCTCACCTTCAAGAGAGACTGAAAACTGAGAGGCACGGGGGTGGGGTGGGGCAGGCAGCATCTTCTCTGTCCTTCAGGACGGACATGAGGTCAGAGCTGCTCAGGCGTGAGTGGTCACTGCCTGCTGGCTGCTTACGTGACTTTCAGCCAGCCTGTGCAGCAGCCTATGAGACTGGCACGTTACTGTGCCCACTTTCCAGACGGGGAAACTGAGGCTCAGAAAGGTGAAGTAACCTGCCAGGATTCAAACTCAGATGGGCTCAACCAGGACTGTGCTCTTAAGCGAGCTGAGTACAACCCAATGGGCAGGGACCAACCCAAAGGGCTGCCTGCATCGGAGCTCGCTCAAAACCAGAAACGAGGAGGGAGCCTCCAATGTGGACCCTCTGGGGTCTGGCCAGCAATGCCTGGCCACCCTCCCCAGCCTGGGCAGGTAAAGGCTGGTACTGTGGTTAGGAACTAACACAGTTGGGCTTGGTCCCTGGTCCCAGCCCCCGCCGAGCTCTGGGACACACGGAGCCAGCCCAGCACGTGGGTCCTGCTTTCCCAGGGGCCTCCCTGTGTGGCCCGGGGTCTTCCTCCTGGAGGCCGTGTCTCACCAGACAGCCACCATGCTGCCCTTGCAGGCGGGAGCAGAGCTCAGACCCTGCCCTGCAGGCGCCCTCACAATGCTGACCTTGGCTGCCTGGGGGCCACCAGGGCTCTAACATCTCCTGGTCGGCACAAGCAGGAACACGCTGCTAAAAGGTGGAGAGGGCGCCCCTATTTCTGCATCTACTTCTCCTCCTTCTGGCAATAGCACCTCAATTTTCCTTTGGGGAACCCTGTCCTCCATCTTCAGAATATGTGGACCAGGTGAGGCTGATCCCAGCAACCTCTGGCTTGTGGCATGTGATGAGACCTGGCCAATCAGAGAATGCTCCCTGGTGCATGACTGGTTCAGAGATGGACATAGAGCCAAAGCCAGGCCAATGAGAGCCAAATATGGAGCTTTGGTTTAAAAACTGTGAGAAAGAAAAGACCCTTTTCCACTGGGTGAGATGAAATGTGGAGCTCCAGGGGCCCTCTGTGCCACAGATATAAGAAAGTCTGTCTGAGGTCAAAGCCAAAAGCATCCTTGGAGCATCTAGAACCAGCCATGCCTGAAGCCCATATAGAGGAGGGCAAAAGCAGGTTCACAGTTGTTTGTATGGAAAACAAGACAATAATGAATAATAAATAATAATGCAAGAGTAAATTCTGTGTTTCATGTACTCACAAGTGTAAATTTTGCTCCACCCTGTACGTAAACCAAACATTCCCCTTTATCTTTAAGCCGCTGTAAACTGAGCTTCTGTTACCTGCATTTAAACACAATGCTGACTGATTTGAAGGTACTGGACTGACCGTTGGCAAACTCCTCCCTCCCTGGGGCAATTAGGGACCTGAGAGGGTGGGCTTGGACCATTCAGGGCTAGAGAGTCCACAGAGGTCATGGGAGGGGCAGACTCCTGGGCAGGTCCCGAGTCGTGTCTTTTTTTTTTTATCCTCAACCGAGGACATTTTTTGATATTTTGTTCAGATAGAGTGAGAGAAAGAGGAAGAGAGAGAGAGAGAAACATTGACATGAAAGGGACACATCGAGTGGTTGCCACCCGCACGACCTAACCAGGGCTGGGGAAAAACTGCAACCAAGGCACGTGCCCTTAGCAGGAACCGAACCTGGGTCTTTCTGGACTGCAGGCCGACGCTCTAAGCGCTGAGCCAAACCGGCCAGGGCCTGCGTCTTCTAAAGTTATGTATGAGCAGTCAGACCTGTGTGTGACTTTCAGAGATGGCCTTCATCGATTCTCAAAGGCGTCCCAAGGACTCCTTTCCTACTCAGGCTTTCCTTAAGGACGAAATGCAGACAGAGTGCTCGAAACAGTGCCTGGCACGCGGAAGACTCAACACGCAAGGGCCCTCACCGCCCGTATTCTTATTGTACTAGCCACGGTGTTTTATGTTGCTTTGTTTTGTTTTTCATTCTTCCTGAAATCCCCTGAAAACACTCTTCCCTCCCTTTGCCTTTTCAAACCAGAAACCTAGCCGCTCCCAGCTCCGTTCTGCAAATCTTCCTGGGGCCCAGGCCCTGGGAAGCTGGGGTGCTGCCCTGCAGGCTGTTCCGTCTGTGGCACCTGTCCAGCCGCTGGCTGGAAGCGGGGCCCCTGAGCTGCCTGCAGAGCTGCTCCGCTCTCACCCGCCTTCACCCGAGCCACACACACCTTTGTTGCCCCGGCCGATTTGGGCCAGCAGTTACAGCGTTGGCCTGTGGACCGAAAGGTTGCGGGTTCGATTCCGTGTGGGAGGCAACCGATCAATGTGTCTCTCTCACATCAATGTTTCTCTCTCTCTCCCCCTCCTTCTCTCTCTCCCTTCCACTCTATCTAAAAATCAATGGACAAATATCCTCGAGTGAGGATAAAAAAAGGAAATATGATAAAAAGAATACTTTGTTGCACGAAGCCCCGGGGGACTTGTCACCGCAGCTCAGCCTGTCAACATGGCCCCTACAGGACCACAGTGAGAAGGGCATGAAACTGCACAGTGCCCTGGCTGCACACTCAGACACGGCTGGTGCTTTTGTCATTCCCTTCTCCTTGGCCTCCAAGGGCATGCAGTGCACTGGTTGTGAGCAGAGTGGGACCCAGACCCCCAAGGACTCCCTGAGGCCTGAGGCCGTGCAGCCAGGGGAGCTGCTAACCTGTGACGAGTGGCATATTCGGCAGGAATGTCCTCCAGGTGGAACTCAGCCCAGGGGTCAGGCATGTGCTTGGCCTTCTCGATGGCTTGCTTCCAAGCTTCCTGCAGAAGGCAAAGGATGTGTTAGGCCAGGGGCTTCTGGGCAGGGCGGCCCAGCCGCCTCCAACCCTGGATTTCCCCGGGGGTCCCCCTCTGGGTAGGCAGACAGCATCAGCGAGAGACACACAGTCTCATCAACTACCCTTTTAGGAACAGTCCCCAAAAGACCCTATCTGCTCATGGGCAAAGCCCTCCCGGGCAGAAGTAACATGTTTGAACTGCAAGACCAAAGAAGAAGCATAATATGCGTAGGAAAACACACACCACTTCTTGTCATCGAAGCTGAGAATGAAAAGGAGACACCCCCCCCCTTCAGACAGACAAATATATATATATATTTTAATCCTCACCCAATGATATTTTTCTTTTTTAATCCTCATCCGAGGACATTTTTCCATTTTTTTGTACAGACAGAGTGGGAGGGAGAGAGAGGAAGAGAGAGAGAGAGAAACATCGACGTGAAGGGACACATCGAGTGGCTGCCACCCGCACGACCAACCAGGGCCGGGGACAAACTGCAACCGAGGTACATGCCCTTAGCGGGAACCGAACCCGGGCCTCTCCGGACCGCAGGTGGACGCTCCAACCGCTGAGCCAAACCGGCCAGGGCGATATTTTTCTATTTATCTTCAGATAGAGTAGGAGCGAGAGACTGGGAGAGAAAGGGAGAGAGAAAGGGAGAGAGAGAGAAACATTGATGTGAGAGGGACACATCAACTGGCTGCCTCCCGCATGACACCGACCAGGGCCAGGGACGAATCGCAACTGAGATACATGCCCTTGACCGGAATCGAACCTGCAATTCTGGTCTGTGGGCTGATGCTCTAACTGCTGAGCCAAATTGGCCAGAACCACACGCACTTTTTATAAGCATCAATGACACCGTCGGTATAATGCACACCTTTCAGGAGCATGGGTGAATGGGACTTGGTACTTGGATTTCACGATCTTGAGTTTTTCCTGATTCCAAGTGCAGACCTGCTTCTGTGTGTAAGACTGCAGGCTGCAGAGCTCTGAACTGGGAAGCGGATTCCTTCCTAACCCCATCCTCCGCCAGCCGCGCTGCCGGTGCAGACACGCGCCCCTTGCACACACGGATCTGAGTACCCTGGACGGTCTGTCTGCGTCTGACTTAGCACAGCCGAGGGTGTCCTTCCGCATCACAGGGACAGACAGGCTGGGTGGGCCTCATTTCCCACATGGTTGTAAGGTACACAGTCATATGCAGCACCTGGAGGCACTTCTCCATCAGTTCACGCGTGGCTGGACCCTCTCAGCATTCCCGGCTCAAACAGTGCTGCAGTGGCGTCCTCGTGTGAGTGACCCTCTGTGCACCAGTGAGCATCCTCGTGTGAGTGACCCTCTGCACCTGTGGGTGTCCTCGTGTGAGTGACCCTCTGCACCTGTGGGCGTCCTCGTGTGAGGGCCCTCTGCACCTGTGGGTGTCCTCGTGTGAGTGACCCTCTGCGCCTGTGGGCGTCCTCGTGTGAGTGACCCTCTGCGCCTGTGGGTGTCCTCGTGTGAGTGACCCTCTGTGCACCTGTGAGCGTCCTCGTGTGAGTGACCCTCTGTGCACCTGTGAGCGTCCTCGCTCGTGTGAGTGGCCCTCTGTGCACCTGTGAGCGTCCTCGTGTGAGTGACCCTCTGTGCCTGTGGGCGTCCTTCTGTGAGTGACCCTCTGTGTACCAGTGAGCATCCTCGCTCGTGTGAGTGACCCTCTGTGCACCTGTGAGCGTCCTCGTGTGAGTGACCCTCTGTGCACCAGTGAGCATCCTCGCTCGTGTGAGTGGCCCTCTGTGCACCTGTGAGCCTCTGTGAGTGACCCTCTGCACCTGTGGGCGTCCTCGTGTGAGTGACCCTCTGCGCCTGTGGGCGTCCTTGTGTGAGTGACCCTCTGTGCACCAGTGAGCGTCCTCGCTCGTGTGAGTGGCCCTCTGTGTACCTGTGAGCGTCCTCGTGTGACTGACCCTCTGTGCACCTGTGAGCGTCCTCGTGTGACTGACCCTCTGTGCACCTGTGAGCGTCCTCGTGTGACTGACCCTCTGTGCACCTGTGAGCGTCCTTGTGTGAGTGACCCTCTGTGCACCAGTGAGCGTCCTCGCTCGTGTGAGTGGCCCTCTGTGCACCTGTGAGCGTCCTTGTGTGAGTGGCCCTCTGTGCACCTGTGAGCGTCCTTGTGTGAGTGACCCTCTGTGCACCAGTGAGCGTCCTCGCTCGTGTGAGTGGCCCTCTGTGCACCTGTGAGCGTCCTCGTGTGAGCGTCCTCGCTCGTGTGAGTGGCCCTCTGTGCACCTGTGAGCGTCCTCGTGTGACTGACCCTCTGTGCACCTGTGAGCGTCCTCGTGTGAGTGACCCTCTGTGTACCAGTGAGCGTCCTCGCTCGTGTGAGTGGCCCTCTGTGCACCTGTGAGCGTCCTCATGTGACTGACCCTCTGTGCACCTGTGAGCGTCCTCGTGTGAGTGACCCTCTGTGTACCAGTGAGCGTCCTCGCTCGTGTGAGTGACCCTCTGTGCACCTGTGAGCGTCCTCGCTCGTGTGAGTGACCCTCTGTGCACCTGTGAGCGTCCTCGTGTGAGTGACCCTCTGTGCACCTGTGAGCGTCCTCGTGTGACTGACCCTCTGTGTACCAGTGAGCGTCCTCGCTCGTGTGAGTGACCCTCTGTGCACCAGTGAGTGTCCTCGCTCGTGTGAGTGGCCCTCTGTGCACCTGTGAGCGTCCTCGTGTGACTGACCCTCTATGCACCTGTGAGCGTCCTCGTGTGACTGACCCTCTGTGCACCTGTGAGCGTCCTCGTGTGACTGACCCTCTGTGCACCTGTGAGCGTCCTCGTGTGACTGACCCTCTGTGCACCTGTGAGCGTCCTTGTGTGAGTGACCCTCTGTGCACCTGTGAGCGTCCTCGCTCGTGTGAGTGGCCCTCTGTGCACCAGTGAGCGTCCTCGCTCGTGTGAGTGGCCCTCTGTGCACCTGTGAGCGTCCTCGTGTGACTGACCCTCTGTGCACCTGTGAGCGTCCTCGTGTGAGTGACCCTCTGTGCACCAGTGAGCGTCCTCGTGTGAGTGACCCTCTGTGCACCTGTGAGCGTCCTCGTGTGAGTGACCCTCTGTGCACCAGTGAGCGTCCTCGTGTGAGTGGCCCTCTGTGCACCTGTGGGCGTCCTCGTGTGAGTGACCCTCTGTGCACCAGTGAGCATCCTCGCTCGTGTGAGTGGCCCTCTGTGCACCTGTGGGTGTCCTCGTGTGAGTGACCCTCTGTGCACCTGTGAGCGTCCTCGTGTGAGTGGCCCTCTGTGCACCTGTGGGTGTCCTCGTGTGAGTGACCCTCTGTGCACCTGTGAGCGTCCTCGTGTGAGTGGCCCTCTGTGCACCTGTGGGCGTCCTCGTGTGAGTGACCCTCTGTGCACCAGTGAGCATCCTCGCTCGTGTGAGTGGCCCTCTGTGCACCTGTGGAGGACAGGATCATAGTGAGACAAGCCTCTTAGCAGAGTAATTGCTGGATCATGTTTAAAATGGACATATTTGGAGTTTTCCTCCAAAAAGTTTCTTCTAAGTTATACTCTAAGAGGCAGCGAACAAATGACTTAAAATTTTTAACACATCGCTTCTCAGCCTTTTGCAGAGACCAAGTGTAAATTTTTTAACACAAACATGACGTTGTGAATTCACAAGGTAGTTGGCGTAACCATCTATGGTACGGGCTCCTCATCACTGAGCCCCTCACTGATGGTTTGCCACAGGTGGACTGAGCTCAACACTGGTTTTCCCTATTATAAATAGTCCTGCAGCCGACTGTTTACCACTGAGGGAGTTTCTGAATGTCTGTACTTCACGAAATGTGCTAGTCCTCTCGTCCGCCACCTGCCCCGCCGGTCCAGCCCTTCTGAGCAACTGCACCTCTCTCCCGGTGACGCCGACGCTCCCTAAGGCACCAGGGACAGGGGCCCCCACATCCCACAGTGAGAACCCACAGAAGTCACCTCCTGGCTGGAGGCTGTGGCCCAACCAAAAACAGTCACGGAGAAATGAATTTTAGAATTCGAGTGTTATTTTACAGCATCAAACTTACCTTTTTTCCAAAACCCAGAAAAAGACACATGCCACGCCTTGCTGGCAACAGACGGGCTCAACGCACCTACGTTTTTAAACACAGTGTACAACGTCTTGTACTCAGACTGGGTCCTTGGTCTGGGCTCCCACCCACTGCTGACCAGCTGTTGGGACATCCATTTCCTTGTTTATAAACAACAGGGAAGAGAGTTTCACTGCTAGTGGTCGACTTTCTTCCTGCACCAAACCTGGGGTAGTGATGTTCCCACCAGAAATAGTGGCTCACTCAGGTCACAGTGCTCACTACAGGTGAGCCCTGCCCGAGCTGAGATCACAGGTATGCTATTTTACCCATCAGGTTAGGAAAATAAGTATATATGGACACCTGGGAAGTGACACCCCTCAGACCCCACGCAGGCGGCGGGGGCAGGCGGCGGGGGCAGGCAGAGCCAGTACTGGTTCTGAACCTTCCCCATGACCGGCGGCCCAGCCATTCCTATCACGCCGTGTCTCAGGTGAGCGGGTCAGCACTTACGAGGCTATGTGACGGTGCAGCACTCCGAGCACTCTGCCTGTCCACAGGGAGATGAGGTCACGCACTTGGTGCTCAACCACCTTTTGGTCAACAGCAGTCCCATAAGATCCAACGAGCTGAAAATTCCTGCAGCCTAGTGATGCAGCCCTCACAACACCGCGGTGCTCGAGAACCACCAGACGCCTGTGTTGCTCGTGTATGTATTTTCCATACTACACTACGTACTGTTATTTCACTTTCCACTTATAAACAGTGTTCACCGCACCCCTTGAATGCACCCTTTCCTCTTGTGCTTGACTTAGCCTCATGCTGCATTGCGAGTTCAGGGTGGCCCGCGGCAGCTGGGCCTCCACGCGGACTCCCGCTCAGCTTCCAGTCCTGAGGGCCCCTTCGCGGTAGGTGCTCAACGGGTGCCCTGCCCACAGTCCCAGGGCATTACATGCCGCACAGGTGTGTAGCCGCCGCCCCACTGGGGTGCTGTAGGTGGACTCTGATGTTCATACGGCGGCAAATCCGCCCAACGAGGCCCTCTCAGAACGCACCCTGCCGGTGAGCCACACAGACTGTGCTTGTGCAGAGCCGTTAAAAGCTCAAGGTGCCGACATGGGCCACCTAACACTTACTGTTTAGGGGAAAGCAAGTTGCTACATAATGCCAATAGTATGACCCCATTTAGCAGTGGCAGAAACCCACAATTCGCTACTGTAGATCCTAAGGGTGTGTGTGTGTCTGTAGACAAATACATAAAAGTGTATTTATACACAAATGGTTTGAAAGAGGTCTGAGAAGTGACTCACACCAAAAGGGCACCACGGTTCTCTCTGGGAGCAGAAGAGGACTCGAGGTAGATCAGGGAGGCTTCGGTTTTCTCTGCACCGTTTGATTTGTTGGCTTTGAGAATGTCTTAGGAATCGCGTGTGCATCAGAGTTTGTCAAGGTCACTGGTGGACGACCCTCCAGGCCCTGCCGGCTGTAACTGGCCTAACTCAGCCGTGGAGGGGCCACGGAACCTTGCACAGCACAAGGGTCTGGGGGTTCCACAGAAAGAGAAACGGAACCTTGTCTAGAGAACAGAAAGAATTTGGTTCTTCAGAGCTGGACAACACAAAATAGAAATGTAGTAGAAATAATAAAATAAATTTCCTGGGTTATGCTAGGAGGGAGGTTGGATGTGGGAGTAATGTGTTTGCAATTTCTTTGGCATATAGGATGTTGTGTCTGCTTTCTTTTTTTAAATATGTTTTTATTGATTTTTGAGAGAGAGAGGAAGGGAGAGGGAGATAGAAATATCAATCGGCCGCCTCCTGCACGCCCCCTACTGGGGATCGAGCCCACAGCCTGGGCAAGTGCCCTGACCAGGAATCAAACCAGGACCCCTCAGTCCATGGGACGACACTCAGTCCACTGAGCCACACAGCCAGGCAGGGCTGCTGTTTTTACATCACTGTTCTTATCACCATCACAGCAACCAAGGCCTCCAGATCTTACACGAGGAAGCACCAGTGGGCTCCCCGAGGCCTTCTGCAAACACCTACTGTTACACTCACCGAGTGGATGCGATAAAGTATGTTTTTCCATCATCACTTGTAGACTTTAAGAGCTGTGGCTCCACGTCAGCCCCCCCTGCCCCACGGGCAGTGAACCACACCCAAGGGCAATACAAGAAATGAGGAAGCACAGTCACTCCAGGTGGGCAGAGACCAACAGTGCTGTGTGGCTGCCCCATTCCGGCCACATGCGTTTACGGGGTTCGTGCAATTTCTAAGAAACCCAGCACCGAACATAGCAGCAAAACTGGAGGGGTCTAAGTCCCCACCAGAGCAAACGTTAAAGAAACAGCGGCATATCCACGCCGTGGGCCTCCTGCAGCCATCGCAGCGAGGAGCCAGAGCCACGTTTACTGACGTGAGGACACGCACCAGCTTGTGTGCCGCCGAGGACACCGGTGACAAGGGCATATAGGGCACAGTCCTGTTACGGTAATAAGTCCCTAGTTAGTGACTGGGGCCTGAATTTATACTGAAATATATAAAAGTCTGAAATATGCACTACAACCTTAATTAGCAATTATATCTGCAATTCTGTTTTCTGCAAGGAACATGAATTACTTCTATAGTCAATAAAATGAATAAAAGAAACAAAGCTGAAAATCCTCACAAAATCTTTATCGAAAATAGAAGCGGCAGCTGATCCCGCCCCAACCAGGGGGACTCCGAGCTGTGGCTACAGCGGACAGGAGGGGAAGGCGGAGGGAAGGACAGGGAGGCATGGGCCAGCGGGCGGCCTGCCGCCCTTGCCCGGGAGCCCTCGCCCAGACGGAAGCCTGCGACCTCATTCGGGCGGACGGCAGGAGGAAAGTTCCCAGTCCGCTGGTGAGGTCGCGAGGCCCCAAGAGCAAGGAGACCTGCTTGCAAGCCAGCAGACCCAGAACTCAAACCCACGCTTGTTCCTGCTCTTTCACAAAAGGAACAAGGACAAGACGTACAATGTGACCATATGACCAGCAATTCCACACCTAAGCGTTTACCCAAAAGAAATGAAACGTGTCGGCACAGGGTCCGTGTGGCACTGCAGAAGCACCGCGGGCAGCGCCGGTGGACGGGTGGACGCAGTGGGGCCCTGCGCACAGCACCCGCCTGAGAACACTGGCTGAGGGTGAATCGTGGAGGTGGTGGAACTGCCGTCTGAGCCATAAATATTTCACTTTAGCATCCGCCGTCCAGTGGCCCACGGGTTTCTGCCGCACCCTGGAGAGGCAGCACGACGGTGAAGTGAGCTCGCATCCCACCATCGCCTCCGATTCCAATCATGCACCTGCTGTGTGCGCAGCATGGCCCTAGGCTCTGGGGTGACCTGACCAGGCCCCAGCGTCCTGCCCTCACGAAGCTCACACTCTACAGTCACACCTGCAGACAAACCCCTTCTCCGCGTCACTTGGTCTGTGTTTTGGTGGTCAGAGACTGTGTTCATCCGTACCTGAGACCCTTCTGCTAGAAGGCCCCTCACCAGACCCCTGTTTCCTGAGAACAGGCAGCTGTGGCGGGAGCCTCTCCTGGGTCTGCCCCCCGGAGACCACCAGGATCCTCTTGCCCTGGAAACAGCCCCTCTTCTGTGACCCCTGACCCGCACCCCAAGCCCTGGCCGGACTGACTGTATCAGAGATGGAGGATGCTGCCCAGACCAGGCTGACCAGACTCCCTACCACGCCCACCCTGAAACTGGGACTGCAGAGGGTCAAATCTCTCATACATGTGGTGCCCTCTGTGCCGAGGGCACCATGGCTGTGGGGCCCACTCCTCACGGTGCAGACTGGCAGGCAGGGAAGAATAAGGGACTAGGCAGAGGAGCCCTGGCCGGGATCAGCTGGTTAGCACGTCGTCCCAATGCACCAGGCTCGATCCCCGATCAGGGCACATACAAGAATCAACCGAGTGCTTAAATAAGTAGAAAACAAATTGATGTTTCTCTCTCTCTAAAAATATCAATTAAAAACAAAAGAGCCTTGGTTGGTTTAGAGCAGCGGTTAGAGCATCAGCCTGCAGACCGAAGGGTCTTGGATTGATTCCCGTCAATAGCATGTACCTGGGTTGCAGGTTCAATCCCTAGCCGAGTGGGGGTTGTGCAGGAGGCAACCAGTTGATGTGTCTTTCTCACATTGATGTTTCTCTCTCTCTCTCTCCCTTCCACTCTGTCTAAAAATCCATGGAAAAATATCCTTGGGTGAGGATTAACAACAACAAAAAAAGAATGAGCAGATTGAGAGACGAGAGACAGACAGTCCTTCTGCCTTCTGGTTCCTGAATCTGTTCCCTGAGAGCCAGACATCACTTCTACCCCTGGCTCCCAAGAAACACCCTGACTGCTACAATAAATTCCCCTTTTCCCGTGAGCCAGCGTGGCTGGTTCTGTTTCACGAGCCCCTCCAGCCCCATCTGGGACAGGATGCCACAGGGATCCGAGTGTCCTCCTGACTTCCTGACCCACAGTGAACAGACGGGAGGCTAGCTGGACAGCTCTCCGCCCTTCCCACGGGCTGGGTGTGGGCTTCAGAAGTCTCTGTAAGACAGGACAGTGGGCCAAGCCACAACCTGACCCTTCCGTGGCCTCCCAACCTCAGAGGGGACCCACAAGGTTATTTCTGGAACGGCCTGTCCCAGAGGGACTCAAACTAGAATTCTGACCCTGAAAGGAAAAAATATCCAACTGTCCAAGAACTAGAATTATTAGCTTTCTAAAAACAGATTAATTCTGAAGTTAGAAAAAATTATTCTAATTTCAAATCCCTAATCGTAATATGCATTTTGCCTATGAGGCATTATACCTGTTTTTGAGGATTAAATTAAATAAGGACAACAGCCCTGGCCGGTTTGGCTCAGCGGCTACAGTGTCAGACTGTGGCCAGAGTCCCGGGTTCGGTTCCCACTAAGGGCAAGTATCTCGGTTGCAGTTTGTCCCAGCCCTGATTGGGGTTGTGTAGGTGGCAGCCACTCGATGTGTCTCTCTCACATTGATGTTTCTCTCTCCCTCCCGCTCTATCTGAAGATGAATGCAAAAAAATAATGTCCTTAGGTGAGGATATAAATAAATAAATAACAGCAATATTTTGCATTAGAAATTTTTTCACCACCAGTTATACAAAAGTCCAATAATCTTTCCCTTTATACAAGTTTTGCCACGATATGAACACAAATCCCTAACAAAACATCGACCCTTTCCTCAATCCAGAAGAGGGATGCCCAACCCCAAGCAGTGGCTTTTTTTACCACAACCAACGTGAAGGACGACCTTTTACACCTCATCCCTGGACCCCATTCCCACACATCAGGGTGAAATAAAAATATTTAACTGGCCCATCAAAAGAAGCTAAGCTGATCACATTTACATGTGCGAAGGTGTGTATACGTATATTCCCCAAAATAAGATCTGTACAATTTGTAGTGCCCTCCAACATTTTCTAGTCTCTTCTATTTCCCAAAGAGCTGGTCACGGTTGGTCAGAACAGGGTCCGGGGCGCTGATGGGAAAACACTGGTCGACAGTAATGAACTTGCTCAAACTGACAATCAGCTTAACAGACAGACTCAGCCCCAGAGTCGCTGCCCCATCTGGAAACACAGGAAAGACCCAGCCAGAGACTCCGACTGCGACGACCGACCGTCTGTCCGGTAGGTGGCCTGGGCTGGGGCAGAGGGGGCAGGGGTCCACTCACCTTAAAATTGAAGGAGCCCCCCGGGGACGCACTGAAACTGTACTGCTCCCTTTTCACTAGGTTGCTGCAGTAGTTATTAACCGAGGGGCTGCCGTTCTGGTGTGCCCCGGGGTCATCGGTGAGCGGGCAGATGAAGTAGCCCTCCTCGTCGTCGCTGTCTGCATCACAGTCCCCGCCGTGGCCGGGCCCGGAGGCTGGGCCTCCATCAACGCCTTCCAGGCGAAATATGAGGTCTTCGTCTGCCATGCTCCCAGGGTGCCCGTTGTACCCAAGGCACAGCCAGAGTTCCTGAGCAGATGCTGCGGGGATGGCCCTGCAAAAGGGGAAGCAAGAGAGTGGGTGCTGGGGCTGGGGGCTCACTGGCACCTCATCTGAATGCCCCGGTGACGGGCTGGCGCCCTTGGACTGAAAACTGCAGCGATCTTTTGGGGAGGCACTCAGCAAGCAGGGACACTTCACGTGCACAGACTTGGTGACCCAGGAATTCTACTTCCAAGAACTCAGTGCTCAAAACATGGCAGAGAGCCCTGGCCAGTTTGGCTCAGCGGTTAGAGCGTCGGCCTGCAGTCCGGAGAGACCCGGGTTCGGTTCCCGCTAAGGGCGCGTACTTCGGTTGGAGTTTGTCCCCGGCCCTGGTTGGTTGTGTGGGTGGCAGCCACTCGATGTGTCCCTTCACGTCGATGTTTCTCTCTCTCTCTCCCTTCCTCTCTCTCCCTCCCACTCTATCTGTACAAAAAATGGAAAAATATCCTCGGGTGAGGAAAAAAAAAAAGCACAAACATGGCAGGGAAATGAAACGCTTTTTTTTTTTTAAATCCTCACTCAAGGATATTTTCCCATTTAGCTTCAGATAGAGTGGGAGGGAGGAATAGAGAGAGAGAGAAACACTGATGTGAGAGGGACACATCGACTGGTTGCCTCCTGCATGACCCCGATCAGGGCCGGGGACCCATCCGCAACCAAGGTATGTGCCCTTGACTGGAACTGATCCCGCGACTCTTTGGTCTGCGGGCCAGTGCTCTAACCACTGAGCAAATCGGCCAGGGCAAAACTAAATGCTTCTTTAAGACACTTGAGTGATCTTTTTAGGACATTTAGATCAAGTGGCTCTCCTGCTTATCCCCTCCCTCAGCTTCTTTACACATTCTTGATAAAATCTAAACGTCTTTAGGGTCACAAGGCTTGAGTTTCAGCCTCCGCCCATTTCCCTCCAGTGTGGAAGATCCCCAAGCACACTGGCCTTCTTCACACTCCGTGAGCATGGGGAACCCACTCCCACCTCAGGGCCTTTGTACTTGCTGCTCCTTGTGCCAGGAACAGCCTTCCTAATCTTCCAACACTGAGTTCTTTCTCATCTGCATCCCAGCTCAAACGTCACACTTCTAGAAAAACGTTCTCTGCCTCCTCAATTCAAAGAACCCTCCTCATTTCTCCAAAAATTAAAAATAGAACAACCTTATGACCCAGCAATCCCACTTCTGGGTATTTATCAGCAGAAAGCCAAAACAATAATTCAAAAAGATACGTGCATGGTTATGCCCATCGCAGCAGCATTATGTACAATAGCCAAGATATGGAAGCAGCCCAAGTGCCCATCAACAGACAAATGGACAAACAGTGGTGGTACATACATACAGTGGAATATTACTCAGCCATAAAAAAGAATGAAATCTTACCATATGCGACAACATGGATGGATCTAGAGGGTATTATGCTAAGTGAAGTAAGTCAGACAGAGAAAGACAAATGTCACATGATTTCATTTACATGTGGAATGTAAAGAACAAAATAAACAAACAAAAATGAAACAAACTCACATACAGAGAATATTTTGACAGTTGCCAGACGGGAGGGGTGCTGGGGGGATGTGTAAAAAAGGTGAAGGGGTTAGGAAGTACAAATTGGTGTCCTGGCTGGTTTGGCCCAGCGGTTGGCGCGTCGGCCTGCGGACTAGAGAGCCCCAGGTTTGGTTCCCGGTAGGGGCACGTACCAAAAAAAAAAAGGAAGTACAAATTGGTAGTTACAGAATAGTCATGGGGATGTAAAGTACATCACAAGGAATATAGTCAATAATATTAAATGACTACGTATGGGGCCAGGTGGGCCCTAGATTTATCAGGGAGATCACATTGCAAATTATATAATGTCTACTGTAACTGAAACATAAAAAATTATTTAAAATTGCCTGGGCAGTGTGGCTCAGTGGGTTGAGCATTGTCCCATGGACTGAGAGGTCCAGATTGATTCCCAGTCAGGACCCATGCCAAGGGCGTGCAGGAGGCAGCGGATCAATGTTTCTCTCTCATAGCAATATTTCTGTCTCTCTCCCTTCCTCTCTCTCTCTCAAAAAAATAAATAAAAATATATATTTTTAAATTATTGAAAATAAACCAAGAACCCCTCTCAAACGCATACCGTCACTCCCCTATCACATAGCCTGTTTTACTTTCTTCATAGATTTTCATTTTCCCAAGCTGAAATCATCTCATTTACTCAGTTACTGTCTGTGTCTCAGTGCCTGGCAGAGTGCGGACTCAATTCATGTCCCTGGGATGAATGAGTGGCCATCAGGGTGTTCTCAGTAACAGCCCAAGACTCATCAATGGAGGCCTGCTCTACACCAGGAACGGCAGCCTGGCTGTCGCAATGGGAGCTCTGGATACACACAGACATGCAGAGAGACTCAAGAAAGAGTTTATCGCCCTGGCCGGTTTGGCTCAGCGGTTAGAGCGTCGGCCTGCGGTCCAGAGAGACCCGGGTTCGGTTCCCGCTAAGGGCATGTACCTCGGTTGCAGTTTGTCCCCGGCCCTGGTCTGTTGTGCGGGTGGCAGCCACTCGATGTGTCCCTTTCACGTTGATGTTTCTCTCTCTCTCTCTCTTCCTCTCTCTCCCCCCCACTCTACCTGAACGAAGAATGGAAAAATGTCCTCAGGTGAGGATTAAAAAAAAAAAAGAAAAGAGTTTACCAAAGTTGTAGGATACAAAATCCTACAATATTTCTATACACTAGCAATGAACAATCCAATAATGTAGTTAAGAAAACAAGTGCACCTAACAAAACAACAGCACGACTTATACAATGAAAACAAAACATGTCCAAAGAAATTAAAGAAGACGTAAATAAATGGAAAGACAGCCTGCGTTCATAGATCAGAAGATTTAATATTGCTAAAACGACTATATTCCCCCAATTGATCTATAGGCTCAACCCAATCACTGTCAAAATCCCAGCTGGCTACTTTGAAGAAACTGACAAACAGGTCCTAAAGTTCACGTGGAAATTTAAGGGACCTAGAATAGCCAAAACAATTTTGAAAAAAGCGAAGTTGGAAGAGTTACACTTCCTGAATTCAAAAACAAGCTACAGTAATCAAGATGACAGGGAATGGCCTAAGGACAGAGACAGAAATCAATAGAACAAATGGAACGCAACTGCGAGTCCATAAATGAAACCTCACATTTACAGCCAACTAACTTTTGACAAGGTTACCAAGACCATTCAATGGGGATGAGTAGATACACACTGGAAAATAATCAAATTGAACTCCTTCCTCACACTATACATAAAAATTTACTCAAATTGATCAAATATTTTAATATAAAATCTAAAACTCTCTCAAAGAAAATACAGGAGAAAAATCTTTGGGGCCTTGGGTTAGGAGCAAAGAATTCTTAGAAGTAAGAATTCTTAGAAATAACACAAAAAGCACAAGCTAAAAAGAATAGATAAACTGGATACGATCAAAATTAAAAATGCTTGTGGTTCAAAGGACACCATAAAGAGAGGGAAGAAAAAACTTACAGAATGGGAAAAAACTTTTGCAAATCATGTATCTGATAAGGGATTAAATAAAGAACTCATATAACTGCACAACCAGTGTGGCTCAGTGGATTGAATGTCATTCCATGGATTGAGAGATCCTAGTTCAATTCCCAGTCAGGGCACATGCCCAGGTTGTGGGCTCAATCCCCAGTGGAGGGTGTGCAGGAGGCAGCTGATCTTTGTTTCTCTCTCACATCAATGTTTCTGTCTCTCTCTCCCTTCCTCTCTCTCTCTAAAAACAATAAAAACATATTTTTTATATATATATATATACACACACACACACACACACACCCCTCATATAACTTATCAATAAAAAGACAACCCAGCCCCTGTGCCCATCTCCTCCCCTGGCTCAGTTAACCAGGCCAGGAAGAACACAGTAAAGAACTGGGGGAAGACCAATTAGAGAAAAATGGTGGCGGAGTGAATGGAAGCTACACAAATAGTATCCCAGGACCAAACTGGAATTACAACTAAAGTAAAGAAAAATCATTGGGAAAAACCAACTGAAAAGCAGTTGGAGAGAACCAGGGACAGAAAGAGGACAACAAGTTGAGCCTGACAGGAACTGCAGAGGCATGAGAAGGTGGACTGGGAGCTGAGGGCTGTTTCAGCTGTGAGCAGTCAGTTTCCTGAAGAGTCGGAGCACTAAGTCAGCTATACAGCCATTCACCTTGGGCTCCTGCAGAGGGAGGGCAGACTGGACTGGAACCACGTGGAGAGAGTCCAGAGCTCCTGGCTCAGGAAAGAGCTGAAGGGGAGGATACTGGGGGTTTTGTCCTGAATCATTTCCTCATGGGACAGTGGCCATCCTGCTCAAAGAGCTCCTTCCTCGAGCCCCAGAAAAAATCAACAGCCCCTCACTCAGAAATTTAACACAGTATGCCAGAAAAATGCAAATTGAAGATCATTAACAGCTAGAGACTGTGAGCAAGCAACTGCCCCATTCCATGGAAATCCTCTTACCCTGTACACCTGATGGATTTTTCATTCAGCTGAGGGCTACAACCTGAGGCTAACCAAGTAACTGAGAATAATAGCCTGCAGGCAAAAGCTAGAGGATAACTAAACCTTTGCTTGGCCTGCAAATCAACCCAGGAAAGTAAGACTTGACAGTGGTGTTTAAGGTGGGTCATTCAAATCCAGCAGAGGGAGTCACAATCAACAGAACACCAACACCCACAGAGAAAATTTGGCAGGCTCCAAAACCCAGTGAGACAGCAAAAATGGTGAAACAAAGAAACAAATCCCAATGAAAGAACAAGAGAATTCTACAGAAGAGATAAATGAAATGCAATTAAGCAAGATCAGAGGTAGAGTTCAGAGTAATAATGAGGAAGCTCAAGAGCATGAGTAAAGATATAGAAACATTGAAAATCAACCAATTGGAAATAAAAAACCACCAAGTGGAAATGAAGAATGAAATAGCAGAAATAAATAACACATTGGAAGGAATAACCAGCAGAGTAGAGGAAGCCAAGGATCGG